TGTTACTCTGGCAGCAGGAGCCAGTGTGGGGTAGATACAAGAACATACACCTGGTGTGATATGACATGCCTAGGTCACAGCTCTTGGGAGTTCTCCTAGAGCACACAGTAAAGATCCTGTCTCAAAGTAACTAAAGAAAAGAGAATTAACACAGACCTTTAAACCAGCTGCACTGCAACTTCAGGGTCGAGAAGAGACAACTGTGAATGCCTGTCCATGGTTCAGACACCCCATCTTTCTGAACTCTACCCAGATATAATCATGTCTGGCATGTACCTGTGTCTGGTAAATGTTAATTCTTTTTTAATTTTCTCACACACACACACACACACACACAAAACCATACATTGGTTATCTAGTTGACCAATGGTTTTGAGGCTGTTGCACTTTGGTTTTTGTTTTGTTATGTTTTCAGACAGGGCCTCATGTAGCTGGCTGAGCCCAAACTCACTACATAGCCAAGAATGACCTTGAACTCTTGACTGATCCTCCTACCCCACCTCCTGAGTGCTGGAATTACAGGTGTGTGTCTTATAACTGATGTTCTTGATGACAGAATTTAACTTTTTGTGCACAGAAAATAAATCATCTAACTACCTTTTGACATTAATAATGGTACATTAAAAGACACAACATCTCCACAGTCCTCAGCAGCATGGTTCACAACAGCCACAGGCTAGGAGCCACTCAGAGAAGTTCTTAGAGAACATCATATCAGGTATATATCTATTTGTCACTAGTGATTTTGTTATAGTCTCCAAAGATCACCCAATAAAAACAGACTCAGTAGCCCTATCTGAAACCCATGGGACCAGAAATGTTTCAGATGTTGGAACATTTCAGATTTTGGAATTACTTAACTGCATAGACTTCATATCAAGCACTTCTGGGGGTGGGGTGGGTGGGGCTGAAATGCAAAATGGTACAAAATCCAACACTTGGATTTTAGAGCATTCCCAATTTCTGTATTAAGAATTTCCAACCTATGTCTGGCCTGGGGTCACAGTAGTTCAGAATTTGTCATGAGTTTGCTTGAGACATTTGTCAGTTGGCACAAGTAGAAAGAGACCACAGAGATTCTAGTAAGGGGTGGCAGACAACTCAACTTCTGGAACCAGATATATCCATCATGTATCACAGCCAACCAGGGACTGGCACTCCTGGTCCATCTGAAAATCTACCTAGCTACTTGCCTTAAGAAGCTAAGACACCGTTGTCATCCTGGCAGTGACTGGCTGGTCTTCGTTGAGCATACCCTAGAAAGGTGGACAAATCATTTTCTATTCTTGTTTCAGATAAGACAGAGGGGTCGTTAACTTTTTAAAAGCAGGTGTGATGATTTGAACAAATGGACAATGTCTGGTACTTCTACTCTCACTCAGACCTAACTCAAAATGTCACCTTTTCCTACTCTTTGCTATGTCAAAGGCACTAGGGCCAAAAGGAATGAAGTATGGTTGTTCTTATCTAACTGGACTCTGAAGCCCAGCAGAGGGTCAGCAATACATTAAAATGGCCAGTTCAGCCAGGTGGAGGTGGTGGCGGCGGTGGCACACGCCTTTAATCCCAGAACTTGGGAGGCTGTTAGTTTGGACACAGGATTCAGAGGATCTGAGCTGGATGTGACCTGAAAGCTTCCCCTCAGAGGACCAGCTTTCATAGTACCTGAAGGTACTGTACAAGCCACCAAGGGAGGAAATGACCAAAAATCATACCTATCTGTGACACCTATAAACCACAACAGTGACCAACAAACAGGGCAAGAGATTCCTCAGGGTGCAACAGTGGCAACTCATATCTTGGCAGTAACCAAGTTATCTAGTTGGACCTAAGCAAAAACAACCCCCAAGCTCAGAATGTGGTAACCAGCCAAGTGATATCAATAAATCACCGACAGTAAAGAAACCTGTGGAAAGCCTCAAACAGTTCAGTGGGTAAAGGCACTTGCCACCAAGAAGGACAACCTGAGTTCAAGCCCTGGAACCTTGTTGTGAAAGGGAGAACTGACTCCCATAAGCTGTCCTCTGAGTTTCGCACACATACACATAATAGATAAATGTTTTTATTTTTTTTAAGGAAGGAAGGAAGGAAGGAAGGAAGGAAGGAAGGAAGGAAGGAAGGAAGGAAGGAAGGAAGGAAGGAAGGAACTCATGAATTGCTCCAGATCAAAGTCAGCAAGTCATGGCCTGTGTGTAAGCTGAACCTTGCAGGGAATTAAAAATAAGCAAACACATATATGAAAACCAGAAAATTAAACATGAGCATAGTTATACATATGTAGTATATGTCAGCCATGGCTACTTTTATATGGCAACTTCAGAGCCAGGCATTTGTACAAAGGCTCAGGGCCTGTAAAGCCTGAGTTTGTATTTGCGCCTTTATAGGAAATCCTATAAATCCCTGCCCTAGCCTGAAAGGGTCAACCAATAAGTCAATAGATACCATTTATTTGCACAATTTTTTGTTTTGTTTTGTTTTTCAAGACACAGTTTCTCTGTGTAACTGTCCTGGCTGTCCTGGAACTCAATCTGTAGAGCAGGCTGTCCTCAAACTGACTGAGATTTACCTGCCTCTACCTCTCAAGTGCTGGGCCTATTTTGCACTACATTTTACATAACAAACCCACATAAAAATTTGAGCATCTTGAGGTAATCTGCTAAGAGGTGATGATGACATTGTAGTCCCAGAAGAAAATGTTCCTTCTAATTATTTAGAGAACTGTTATACTATCTAGAATAAACTGCTTTAAATCACCTTTTTTTTTTCTTGTAGCATTGAGGGTAAAGCCTGGGACCCTGCAAATGTGAGGCAGGTGCTCTACCACCAAGCTGTATTTCCAGTCTTAAATGAACAGAGAATGGGAAAAAGAATGCCTATCAGGCTGAGAAGAATCATAAGTTCTATTTAATGGCTATCTGGAAGTTCAGATAGTTTCCGTGCTTTCATACCTGGTTAAAAATTTTTCAGCTAGAGAGGGAAATCAGAACCTTGATAAGAAACAGAACTTATCATCGGAGAGCCTTTCCTTCCTCGGCCCAATCTGGTGCAGCTCTCCCTATGCCCATGGTCGTCTCAGCACACCTGTCGGCTCGCTTGCTCTTTCTGAACATAGTTTCATATATTCACCCTGTCTTCTGCTCATGGTGTCTAAAACCAGGAATGCCATTGTCCCATTCCTCCATAAAAAGCCACCCTCTGCTTGAGGTTTAACCCTAAAGAGCCCCCACCCCCAGCTTTCACTCCAACAGTTCATGGCCTTGTACTTCATTCTTCCACATTAGTGATAATACCCGTTGACTCATGCCGCCATATGAACAGCTAGCCTTTTCTAGTGAACTCCGCTGAGGGAGAATAACAGTACCTCACACAAAGTTAGCAATGCCTACACATAGCTCCGGGTTCCAGGGATTGGGCCTGCAACCTAAGCAAGGCTGTCCTTCCCAAAGCAGTTTCAACAACAACACAGAGAAGCCTTTGACTGAAGGATGGATTTCTCAGTCAAGATGCTGGGTAGCCATGGCTAGCTCAGGCTCTCTGAATAAAATTTCAATTAAATACTGGCTCCAGATGGGGAATGCTCTAGAGAAGACTGCTAAGATCAGTTGATGCTGTCCTCCTATGGCTACCTTCCCATGGGCCATATCCCTCTTCGACGGCCCTAGCTTGTAGGATGGTGGGTACAATAAAAAAAATATGCGGTGACTATTTTTTCAAGCACTGACAACTGGAGTTACTAGATAAAGGGAAAACACTGTGGGGTGTTATCATTTGATATAAAGTCTTTCATAGCCTACGATGCCCTGCTTCAGTCTTCTGAGTGCGGGACCTTGGTGGATTCCACTGTAGGCGAGGGTGACGGAGCATAGGGACAAACATGCCAGGCAGACAGAGCTTAAGTGAGAAGTTTTATTAGGAAGGGGAGGAGGGAGGAGAAAAGAGATAAAGAAACACAGAGTCAGAGTGAGCAGAAGAGAAGAGGGAAACAGGAGAAGTCCTAAAGAGAGCGTAAGTGGGAAGTGGTCTTTCTTTTAAGGGGTCCTTTGCACCTGGGCTGACCAGGGTGCTGCCTGAGGGCATTCCGCCAAGTGACAGGGGCTAGCCAGTGTAATGCCTGAATCCTTACACTGGTGCTAGGATTACAGGCATAAACCACAACACCTGACTTGAACACATCATTTTAAAAATGCACTGCACACTACCCAGCACCACCACAAACAGTCATTAGTAGGATTCCAGTTCACCACCTCACACATAATAAGGCGGCGTTTTACCACTGAGCTACATACCCAACCCCAACTTTGTTTTCCAGTGCTGGAGATACAACCTTGGGTCTGTTGTATGCTAAGGTCACGGTTAGTAAAGTTTACTAGTTAAAAAAAAAGTTCAGTATAGAAGAAGCTACTAATTAACTTGGCGTACTAAGCCTTTAAAGACTAAAGTTCATTGGGGAAGGCTGGCCTGCTTACTCAGGGACTTCTGGCTTCTCCTGGGAGCCGGCTCAGGAAAATGAGGCCAAACTGCCAGGCACTTCAATTACAGGAACCAGGCCAAGAAAAAGCCTTCAACTGGAGGAAAGTAAGCACAGGTGTGCCCAAGACTTACCTCTCAGAGGTAAATCCAACTGATTCAAAGACAGCCTTTATTTTGAACTCATGATTTCTTACTGGGACCGTCAGCCTATATATATATATATATATGCTCCATGCTCCTACTCTAATGTGTTTCCGTATTCCTTCAACATGAATAAACTGAACTTGGAGTTAAGAAGCTAAGTTAAAACATGTGCACACCTCTGATGGGTTTCGAGCGAGGCTATGCCATTATAACTTGGCGGATCGAGTGAAACAGCAACGATAATCACGAATAGAAAAGAACCTAAGATCAGAAGTTGGTTTTGGATTCTTTTGCAAGTTGTGGCCTCCTTCACACATAAGAAACACCTAAAATTAAAAAGCGGAGCTTTTGAAAACAGCCTCATTCCACCTGGGAGCTTAAGCTACCTGCTGGAGGCGTCCGTCCCACGAGCAGCGAGCAGCAGCTCGGCTTGGGCCAGCGTCTGTGCGACTCCCGCCGTGGCCAGCGCGTTGGCCGTCAGGGGCGGTTTTCCGGGGTCAAACGTGCGCCCTGCCCCGCGGGTTCCGTTCGCCCTCCCGCCCGGCCCTGCATCTGCCCGGACGCTAGCGGCCCGCGCTCTGCAGCCTGGCGACCCAGTCCCTAAGCCGCTCAGGCTCCCAGTGCCAGCCCGCTCAGAGCCTCACCTGCACCCGGCCAAGAGGATCAGCGGGAGCGCGCCGGCCCGCGGAGCGGAAATGCCCAACTGAGCGGGCGCCGCAACCAAAACGCCCCGGGCGGCGCCCCCTGCAGGCTGCACTCCGCCGCTCCTCTCGCCCCTGCGGCGCCCTCGCATTAATGCCCCGCCCGACCACACCTGGATGCCTGCACGCCTACCTGCACGCCTCAGTCCACGCGGCCAGAGCCGCGCACTTACCTATCTGAGACCACCTTCTTCTGAACTGAACGAAAGCGCCCCATCCCCGACACAGACAGACAGACAGACAGACAGACAGACAGACAGACAGACAGACAGACAACCTCCCACACACACACAAAACACCACACACAGACATATGCACTCACACACAGGGATGCCCCACTCCTGACACAGAGACAGACAGAAAGACAGACAGACCCCCCACACACAACACACACAAACAGACACATGCATTCATACACAGGGATGCCCCACCCCTGACACAGAGACAGACAGACAGACCCCCCCACACACACACACAACACAGACACATGCACTCACACACAGACACATGCATTCACACATAGGGATGCCCTACACCTGACACAGAGACAGACAGAAAGACAGACAGACCCCCCCCACACAGACACATGCATTCACACATAGGGATGCCCCACACCTGACACAGAGACAGACAGACAGACCCCCCCCACACACACACACAACAAACACACACAGACACATGCACTCACACACAGGGATGCCCCACCCCTGACACAGAGAGACAGACAGACACATCCCCCCCACACAACACACACACCCAGACACGTGCACCCACACACAGGGATGCCCCACACCAGACACAGTACAACCGCTTCTAAATGGGTAAGCTCTACATTACACACGCCTGTGTTGGACCCAAACACACCCGAAACCCACTACTTCAGAGAGACTCATAAACACAAAATTGGAGACAGACCTCTTTTCATAAACCCTGTGGTGACGCTAAACTCTGATGGATCTTAGGAAGACGCCTCAGGACAGTCATGCATCACCAAGGCTTCACACCCGCTCATACCCATGCCTACTGGATACAGGTAATGTAGCCATTCCTCCCACTGACCGACTCTTTTTAAAATAAAACTTGTTTAAGAGCTAGTGGAAAGGCTGACTTTCACCTGTATCCCCTGAGTGAGAGCCAGAATAGGTGGGTGAGAAACAAAAGCTCAGGGAACCTTTGTCTCTAGAGACTTTTCCTCAGGAATGGTGTGGCGCTTTTAGAGCCCAGGAGAAAGCAATGTCACAGAAACCATGAGAGGTCTCTGTCCTCAAAGACACAATTAAGTATAAGACTATTGATGTCCTTTCATCATTTCCTGTCTCTTTGACTTCTTTGTGTAGGTGGAGTACTTGAACTCTTCTCGTATTATTGGTTTTCGTGTAGATGTAGCCAGTGAGGCTGAAGTGGTTGTATTTTAAATAGATGAACAAGTCTAGAATAAATCTAATTGATCATATTCATAAACCACTTAACTCTTTCCACAGAGGACCATGAGAGGGGACAAAGGGTCTTAAGGGAGGGCCTGGTAAGGGGAGAAAGGGGGATTAATAAAATACACATGACATCAAAGTAGAAGATGGGTAGGGATGGAAGGAGGGGTAGAGAAGAGGATCAATAAAAACACAGTATATATGGAAGTCTCCTAGGGAAGCCTATTATGTGGCATTGCGATGTTTTGTTTATGATCTAACAAATAAAGCTTGCCTGAAGATCAGAACTCGGAGCTAGCCACGATAGTTAGCCATAGACACCAGGCAGTGGTGGCACACACCTTTAATCCCAGCACTTGGGAGACACAGGTAGATGGATGGCTGTGAGTTCAAGGCCACCCTTGGCTACCATGAAAACACTTTATCAGGATGGCTTTATAATTTATTTTAGTATCTATGGGTGTGTACCTTGTGTGTCTATATGCACCTCTTAAACCTCATACCTCTCTGAAAAGTATTATTTCCCATTTCGTCACTGAAGCTTGGTAGAAACAAAAAATAGCCTCGGCATCTCACAAAGACACGTGGGAAAAATGTTCAAGTAGCTCAGAAAGGCAATTCTTTTTGTAAAAAGACTGCATCAAAACCCAAAGTAGGCTAGAAAGCACACCAGGGCCAAGATGGTTCCCATCTTTTATTATAGACAGGTAGGTGTTAACTGAGTCTCATCCCATTGGTGGGAGGGAAGTCTCCCTCTGACATGATTGGCTAATCTGCTTGAAGGGAAAGGTTCAGAAAATGAATGCTTTGATTTAAAAATACCCTCCCCCAAAAAACTACATTTGCCAGAGGAAAAAAATGGTCCCCACAGCAGCTACTGGGAGATTAGATTACTTAATACACTTCCCTCTTCATAGAGCTGCTATTACAAGGTACCACAAATGGGTTGGAAATTTAGACCTTTAAAGCTGGAGGTAACCAGAACATATATTGTAAAAGTGGAGGTTTGTGATAACACTGAAAAAGTTTAGTGCTGTTTATGTGACCAAGTGGAGAAACAGATGATGTCTCCTGATATAATTACACAGTTGGTGTAGCCGTGAGGGAATGTCCCAGTGGCGTAAACGATAATGGGCAGAGTATTTGGCATTGCCTTTATCAAGATTCTGCCAATTTCAACTCCCAGAGTGTGATCCAGAAGTAGGTAAACACTATTACTGCAGGTGAGTATGGCAAATTACATTTCTGAGGGTGGAACTAACAAGTCTTCTCACCCCCACCAGGTGGGGTGCTGGAGCAGAAGCCACACTGGGTGTACCCTTGGACCTGGTTAAGCTCCCGACTGTCACCATCTAGGCTTGGCACTGGGCCAGCACCTGAGCCAGGCTCAAGAGGTGTCTGCAGCCATGTAAATTCTGTGGAGGGATGGCATACTGTGCATCTCAGGTCAGAGTGGGCCTAATGCCTCACGTTGGCCCAGAGATTCTGCAGCCTGAGGGCCACACAGGAGTCAGAATGGAGAGCAAAGAGGAGGAGGTCTCTCGTGGTCCACTTACTGTCCACCCTAGTACCACGAAGGTGGAGGTGGAACCAAATCCTGAGGAGTCACAGGACAGGAAGGCTCTAAAGAAAGAACTAGACCGTTTTGCCAAACAGCTGAAGAAAATCACCCTGGGGTTCACATGGGCTGACATGGGGCTCGCATGGGGCATTCTCTTTAGAACGCGGTTCAGCCAGTAAACCATCCGCTGCTTTGTGGACCTGCAGCTCAGCTTTGAGAACACATGTAAGCTTCAGTCAGTCCCTGCTGGAGAAAGGGGTGGAGGAAGCCAACAAGAACTTTCAGAAGGTATGCAAAGCAGAGCGCCTGCTGCAGGTGGACAAGAGAAATCGGATGAGTCAGGGGGAACCCTGTGACAGGGAAGCGCGAGTCACATCAAGGATGCCGGTGTGTGTGTGTGTGTGTGTGTGTGTGTGTGTGTGTGTGTGTGAAGGTAGTTGGATATTTATTAAGAGAGAAGTAACTTACATGAAAAGCTGAGAACTTGTCAGCGCTCTATGATCTCCGAATCTTGGCCGGGATCCAAGAAGGGGCTTTTCTTTTTTCTCCTTTTATCCCTCACCTTTCCCACTTACCTGTGTCCACGCCCCAAATGGGCGTGGCCAGTGGGTACATGAGATCTCCCTTACAAAACCCGAAGAACATTTCTGTGGTGGCCGGAGCCCACCTTGCAGATGAGCATCATCACCAAGCCTCTTGGGCTGGAAAAGGATGTGGTCCTTGTTGGTTCTGTATGTGTCCTGTACCCTGCACCAGAAGCATGAGCAATCAAGCTCTGACTGTTCCCAATCAGAGGCGTGTGAGACTACAGGATCTTCTTATCCAGGGGCTCCCAAGGCCCCATTTTGGTGCCCCAGGCGACGGGAGCCCCAACTTCACCATGCTCCACTCTTCAACAGCTTTGGGATTAAAGTCTTCATTTACTGAGGAGGGGACTGAAAGCACAAAGTATTGGGGGACACAAGGTGTGGGAGGAGGTGATGGGGGTTAAGTTGAAGTTCAGTGACGCTTTGACCATGAGCCCATCACTCATCTTTTTGTTGATCACTTGGAATGACACGCCTTTAATCCCAGCACTAGGGAGGTGGAGACAGGGGTGATATGGCTGGGTGAGAGAGGGAGATAAGGCGGAGACAGGAACTCATTGCAGTCTAAGGAGCAGTGTGGAGATACAACCAGAGGTCATAATCGCTCCCTCAGTCTGAGCATCGGTAGAGGTGAGAGCTCTCTAGTGGATGGCCACTTTGCTTTTCTGGTCATTAGCTTTAACCCCAACATCTGCCTCTGGGTTTTTGTTGTGTTACAGGTTGGTGCTTCTAAATTTTATTTTTTTATGAGTACTAGGGACTGAACTCAGTCCTCATGCGTGCTCAGGGCTTTTCTGACTAAGTCATCTCCCCCAGGCTCCTTTGCCTTTTTGTTGTTGTAGAACATGGACTTATCATTTAACCTCTAAAGACACAGTTTGTGTTTCCTCCCACGGCCCCTTCCTTTGACAGGGTGTCACTAAGTAGTTCAGGCTTGTTTGTCCCTTGCTATGTAGTCCAGTATGATCTCAAACTTACCATGCTCCTGTCTTAGCCTCCCAAGTGCTGGGATTACAGCTGTGTTGCCTCCACACCCAGCTCTGTGTATGTACCTTAAAAACCTACAAGTTCTTACATAATATCACAAAAACTTATCATTTGTAGTGTTTAAATTCAAAATCATGGCTCAAGTCAACATGCTTAGATTCAGATAGAACCCTATTTTACAGTTCTTCCTAGGAGACTGTATGTCACATGGCCTCACAGTGGGACAGTCACTCATTGATGCTGTCATCAGTTGAGCTCAGCTTTTGGGACTCCATGACCAAGTTCCCTGTCGCCCCTCATATAGTGATTTTATTCATTGCTGATCTTTCCTGAATTGATTAGTTTGGGACAAAACCCAAAGCATGATCTATCTTTCTTTGTCTTCCCCCCTCCCTCCCTCCCTCTCCCCCCTCTTTCTTTCTCCTTCTCCTCCTCCTTCTTTTGTTTTCAAGACAGGGTTTCTCTGTGTAACAGCTCTGGCTGTCCTGGAACTCACTCTATTGACTAGCTGGCCTTGAACTCACAGAGGTCCACCTGCTTCTGTATCACAAGTGCTGGGATTAAAGGTGTGAGCCACCACTGCTCTTCAAAGAACAATTTTCTAATCAACATTCTTCCAACATGTATTATAACAGCTCTAATTAATCCACCAAGAAGCCTCATCTACTCTGGCTGTTTGCTAATCTTATGATCTTGAGAGGTGCCTGATTTTCAGACAGGTACCCGAGTTGTCCACTCAGGAAAACCTTAGGAGAGCAGTGAGAAATATAGCCCCGTGGTATCCAACAGCATTAAAAATTAATATGACTGCAAGGATTAAATGCAACAAATAATTTTTTTAAAAAAAAGCTAAATTTCTAGGCTGTCACATATATTCACTGCCTTGTACTGAGACACACTGCCCATAAGAAATGGACAGTGCACACAGCTGTAACTTTTTAAATGTCAGTTCTTATGGTGCTGGGACTCGGTTCTAGGGCCTTGTGCATGCTAGGTTAGCACTCTGCCACTGAGCCATAGCCATAGTTCACACAGATACAAAAATATAGAAGCCACAATTTAAAAAGTAAAAATGGGAAACTGATCACCATGGTAGTTTGTTAGCAGCCATCGTTTGATATCCATGGGACTACCAGAATTTATGGATGCTAAAGTAAAAGGACCTCAGTCACTTTCTCTCAGCTTATACTTCCACGGTCTAAGAGGTCTCTGGCACATAGTAGATATGATAATTTACATGAGAATGTTCCCAGTAGGCTCAGATGTTTGAATACTTGGTCCCTAACTGGTAGCACTGTTTGGGGAGGTTTAGTGGGGTATGGCTTTGCTCAAGGATGTTACTGCTGGCAGGCTACGGTTTCAAAACTGTCACCGTTCCCTGTGTGCCAGTAGAGTTGTGAGCCCTCAGCTTCTGACCCAGCCACCATGTCTCTGCTCTGCAATCATGGACTTTGTCTGGAGCCATAAACACACATAAACTTTCTTCTGTAAGTTGCCTTGGCTATAGTGTTTCTATCACAGCAATGTAAAAGTGGCTGATGCAGCAGGCACTTAACTTTTTACTGAGTAAAGGAGGGAATAGATGTGTTTAATGATAGCGCTGCTCCTTTTTCAAAAGCGCACTCTGCCTCTTAGCATCTATCCCGGGGTCCACTGAGCGTCTTACCTTCTTATCCAACAAATCTTATGGCCCACTTTAAATGTGAGAAGTGGGTAGAATAATGTAAATGAGTTGCCTAGGATGTTACACTGGGAGAACCAAGACTCATACCTGGGTCCATCACCTCCAGACCCAGGCAGGTTGAACAGGAATACGGACACAGATGTCTAATGCTTTGATGCTGAGCTAGTCTCCTGTACGACATTTCAAGTCAGTAACTTGAAATCACATGCAACAAACACGCTAGGTAACATGAGACTCCGCCAGAAGACCCCGTAAGGGATATGGGTGTGAGGCTGTGCCTAATAGGATGAAATTTAAAAGAACAAATGTAAGTGTGCATCAAAGTATAAACAAATTGGAGTGACAGACCAGGCAGAGACCCCGAAGTAACACGTGCTGAACTGAGAAACAAGTATGCCCAAGGAAGTGATGGGCTGTGATCAGATTTCCCCATGTTTAAATGCTGCCCCCATCTGTCATTAACAACAAAACATTGAAATAAAAAAAAAGAGCTATCATCTAGGTGTGGCGGTGCCTGTCTATAATTCCAGCTCCTCGGGAAGATGAGGCATAGGACCATGGGTTTGAGGCCAGCTGGGCTGTGCAGCAAGACCCTGTTTTAAAATGCACACACATACGTAAGTTCAGGCAAGTAGAGAAGTTACCAGAAGGCAGTCTTCTATTTCAGTCTTAGGGTAATCAAGAAACATGCTACAGCTCTCTTAAGACAGGAAGAAAAGAAAGAGTCTACATAATGGACTTCCAAAATCTGCAGCCAGGAAATGCTTCCTGAAGTATTAGTCAACCAAATGACCCTCCCCCCACCCCCAGAAAACAGCTGGAGAGGGAATCCTGATGGACCAACCAACAAGAGTTTAGGGGATCTGTTTTGTAGAAAGGGAGCCAGACATGAGAGTTTATCAGTAGGGAGAAAAAAGAGAAAGGTTCCTAAAGGTGCTTTTAGAAGAAATATTCTTTACTCGGAAACAATACAAAAAAACAAAAAAAGGATCTACAAACTGTTTAAAGCAATGTCTGAGACATAAAATTTTCTTTGCTGATGTATTCCAACTACTACAAAGTACAACTGCTGGTCTAAAAGTCTACCCTGCTGTCCCCAGAAGGTGAGTGCAGGCATTCCCATCCCTTCTGGTTTTGGTCTACAATACGCAGACATCACTATAACCTTAGGACTCCCATTTGGTCATCAAACCAACTGGCTCTGGAACCAGCAAAGGGGCAAACCTCTGAGTACACCTGTGAGGGATCTCCTTGATCGGGCTACAAGAAGTGTGAAGACCCATCCTAAATGTGGGCCCAGTGGTCCTGCAGCAGCCCTGGTGCAGGGAGGTCCACAGGAAAAGCGTTTTGTTGGCTCGCTTTCACATCTTGCTGGTGAGTTCATCTGCTCTATGGCTGCCACTGTCCCTGCCTTCCCTCAATGATACAAGTTTCTTTAGCTTTATAACGTGGGCTTTAGACCAGTGACTCTCTTGGAGCTCTCCTGGCCTACCTACAGTGTCAGATTGGGAAACTGCTGCGAAACAGCTTTGTGAACCAAGCAGCAACAGTTCTGAGCCTCTCCATTGTGAAGACAGTCATTCTTGGACAACATAGAAGTACCGTGTAAACCAATCTAATAACAGTTTTTTCATCTCTCTCTCTGTCTCTCTTTCTCTGTCTCTCTCTCTCTGTTCTTCTAGAGAACCCTTGACTTAACAGACTTGTCATTTTTATTTTTAATCTTTGAGACAGGGTCTCACCAAGCTGCCCAACGTGGTCTTGAATTCCTTCGTAACCTAGGCAGGCCTTGCATTTGTGATCCTCCTGAGTAAGAGGGGATGGTAGACACACACCAACCACCAGGCCTGGATCCTGTCTGCACACTGATTCTTCCACTTGCTTTTACTTAAGAAAGTTGTATTTTAAAAGTGAGCACAGAGAAGAAAATCTACCGATATGGAGCTACACATCCCAATATCTGAACTTCAGTAACTTCATAACATAAGCCTATAAAATAGGCCTGTTGCTGGGAGGTGGTGGCGCACGCCTTTAATGCCAGCACTCGGGAGGCAGAGGCAGGTAGAGCTCTGTTTGAGTTCGAGACCAAGCCTGGTCTACCAAGCGAGTTCCAGGACAGCCTCCAAAACAATACAGAGAAGCCCTGTCTTGAAAAACCAAAAAACCAAAACCAAAAACAAACAAACAAACAAAAAATAGGCCTGTAAATGGACTGAATTCTGAGCAAAACCCGTGTACCAGGAAGGGCGTTTTCAGAGGTTTAGTGTTGGTAGACCCTGCATAGATGTGGGGTGGCAGCACCCCACAGGCGCCAGCACCCCCAGGCAGGGGGCCTGAAGGAAGTAAATGACAAGCAGAGCAGCCACATGTCATGGATCGCTCCATTTCCTGACTGTGATACATCACGACAGCTGCTCCAAGCTCCTGCCGCACCTTCCCCGTCACAGCAGACTGTGAGGTAAACTAAGCCCTTCCACTCTGACACTGTCTGTTGGGTGTCTGTCTTGTCACAGTGGTGGGAAAGGAATGAACCGTGGGTCCTAAAAGGACACACCCGTCACATACCCTAGAAAAGATCCGACTCCACCTTCAGGGGAGGCTCAACAGAAACATTGACTACTAAAAAGAAACGACGACAGTTTCGCAGCAGTTTGTGTGATAATTTTACTGCAATAGAAATTACAGCAATTGCATGAATTATTAGGTCAACAGTATATAAAGAACAAACTAAGTGAACAAATCGTTGAGATCTGATAAAACAAGGGGGAAAAAAAGCAACTCGTTTTTTTTTTTTAAAGAACACCACACAATCCAGAACTTTGACTTCTTTTGTAAGAAAGTTTAACCTTTTTGCATTTTCTGGATAGAGTAATGTCTGTAGGTCAATTATGTGAAATGGGAACCCATTCCTCGGCTAAAAACATGAAAACACAATGTACACGGACACAACAGCCCTCTGAACACCGGGCAGGACAGAAACCAAAACGTTAGACGGCCTGCATTTGCCTAAACACAGCAGGGTTAGTCTACCACCAGTGGTAGTTTTCTGTAGAACATCATCCTGTGTACTAACATCATACATGTTGGAATGCACACACATACCCCAAAAAGCTTGGGAGTCAACACCTTCCTATGAAAGAAAAAAAAATATACAGATACACCAGATGTTAAAATTTCCCCTTCTTCATTCCACTATTTATCCCATTAAACACAAAAGAGTGAATAATTTCTTACAAACTTCAAGTTATACTATTGCAAAGAGACTTAAACCCCCAGACCTTAATTTACTTGTCATTACTTGTCATTAAATAAACATGCTAGCATACACACACACAAGATACACGATGCTTATGTAAGTCTGTGGGAGTTGGCCATGGCGAGGTGACGCCACTTCACTGCGCCAGTCACACCCCAAATGCAGGTTTAACACGAGCAAAAGTTGCTCGAGATGATTTTTGATTCTCCTTTTTCTGTTTAGTTAAAAAAAAAAAAGGCTTCATTTTTGAGATTTTAGAATTACATTTGGGTAGTCTGAAAAAATACAATCTCAATGCAAAAAAATCCTCTCAAGCATTCAAGAGTGTGTTGCTGGTGCTACAATCTTCTTGCATCTCTTTGTTTTCACAGGAAAAAAAATAATAGTGTAGTAAACAAAAAAGCCTGAGAACTTTAAATGGCTAAACCCGAACGCACAATCTGAACCGAGGCCTCATTACACACACACACACACACACACACACACACACACACACACACACACACACACACACACACTCAGAACAGTGAGTGGGGGAGATCAGACATCTTTCTTGTGCATTTGTTCTAGTTTTCTTCTCAGCAGACTGTAATTCTCCTTGGTGCCTGCTGCCACGGGGTCAAGCTGCAAGGAGATCTCATAGTGTTTCTTGGCCGACTCGAGATGTCCCCAGCGATGATAAAGCACAGCTGAAATAGCAGATGAATTTGGTTGGAAGCGCTTCTGACTTAACTTTCAGGGCTCCCAAACACACGCACAAAGAACTTTTGTGGAGCCTCGACAGAAACCACTGATTTAAAAAGTACTGTTTTTGTACTGTAAGCTTTGTTTATTGTAATCACACACCCCGGGGAGTGGGCCCCTGGACCCCCTGCCTGTTACTCTTGGGGTTCTTCTTATTGTTAGATAGGATTCACGTGTTTCCAGAAATGTTATTACAAAAAAAAAAAAAAAAAGAAGAAGAAGGGCCATGACTGTTTCAATGCTGCTGTGAGACTTCTAGCTAGACAGCACTGCGCTGAGCTCAGGCTATGTCAAAGTCTACTCTTTCATTATTTCCTTCTTCATGTATAAAAAGAAACCCCACAATATATTCTATATTTTAGGTTTATTTGTTATTATTTTTTGTTATTTTTAGGTTTATTTATTTATTATCTTGTGTGTATGAGTATTTGCCTGTGTGTATGTACATGTAACACATGCATTCGGTGCCTGGTGCCTATTGAGGCCAGAGGATGCCAGGTCCTATAGAACAGGAGTTACAGACGGTTGTGAGCCTCCAAATGGGTGCTGGGAACCAAATCTGGGTCCTCTGCAGGAGTAGCCAATGTACTTAGCTGCCAAGCTGTCTCTTATAAACACAACCTCTTAAGTGAAGATTTCCATACAACCCTTTGGGAAAAGGCTGTGTTTCTAGGTTGCGGTTGGGGCTCTCACATCAGAATCAAACTGTAAAATGATGTTGCAATAAAGTGCATCTTCAACATCCTAACCCTGACTGGGTATAGGGAATGTTTCTCGTGAGGGACTAGAGAATGAGTGCAGGGCCTCCAGCCTGCAAGGCTCCACACTGATCTGCACCCCCAACCCATTTAATGAAAATTCATCTTGAGACAGGAACAATACAGGTAACCTTTCAGAAATTACTCTTGCAAGAAAAGATTTTATAGACATAGACATATAAAACAACACAGAATTTCAATGCAACTCAATCGGAAAAACTTTCTTACCCAAATTGCCATGGTAACTCGCAACATTTGGATTTGCCTTAATTGCCTTGAGGAATAATGCTTCAGACTCCTAAAACAATGAAACACACACACACAGAAAGAAGAAGGTATTATACACGAAACAAAATGAACACATAAACAGAAGAAGGTATTACGCACGAAGCAAAAACAGTCACCTTCTATCATTGCTGTTTTGTATCAAAACATCTCCTTTCCAGAAACAGCCTTGCTGAGAAGGGGCGGTGGGACACAGTGGTGTCAGGGGATGACGAAGCCATGTAAGCCCCACCTCAGAAGTGGCTGGCACTTTGTAACCTAATTCAAATGACTTAACTTAGGGCCCACTGGAGGGGGAGAGGGGCAGAAGGGGAAAGGGCCAAGCTGTCGAGGATACTCACGAAAGCAGCAAGCCCAACCCAAACCGATGGCCTCACTGCAGAGACCAGCACTCAAGGTAGGGATATGAGCCTGTTTAATCCCCCACAGAAACCCAGAATACCCTTGGCATCCCAGACGAGCTGCATCCCTTATTCAGCAGCAATTAGCACAGATAACGAGGAAGGAATGGCCATCTCTGGTGGGAGCTGTCCATTAATTACTGTATAGGACTGTGACCAAATGCCCCTGGTGGGTGTGGACTGATCTTTGTACTTGTCCTTACTTGCAGTGGGGTCACCATGAAGCAGGGTAGTGGTTCTCTACCTAAGTGAGCCCAAATGGTCACTTTCTACCTGGAGATAGATGCCCAACCTGTCCACTAACATAAGCCCAGGTCACTATGTGTATCTCCCACACACCTGCTTGGAAAGAACCAAGCTCACTGCAACTGGCATCAAATGCTGAGCGTATACTAACGACCCACGTTGTCAGATTGGGGACAATTTTGACTTCTCACACTCTGCGTGAGTTTTCTGAGTGAGCTTCCTGCCTCGCTGACTCTGAAGTGCTGAACAGCAGCTTCCTTGAAAACGGATAGCCAATGGTGTCCTGGGAAGCAGGCTGGGGGTTCAGGTGGACAACTCTGAACCCGCAGAACTCAGGGAAAACCCCATCATGTAGAAGGGGGTAGGATGAAGACATCAATCTGACACATGGGATGCCAGTAGGGAGTCAGGGTCCACACCCCAGCTCTAGAACTGAATTGTTTTTGGAGGGACCCAAGATTTGTCCAACATTTTAAAGAAGCTGCCGGACAACCAAACCAAACAGAAGGTGTGGTTTCTTGTGCCTTTCCTGGTGATTTTCATTGAACCTTAAAAACTACAAGAAATAAGAGTCTGAAAATGAGAATGTACTCTAAGATGCTCTGCGTCACACAGGAGAGTTTGCTGGAGTGGACTGCTGTAGGGGTGAATGACATGTTTTCTGTGGGGGGGTCCCAGAATTTCTCATTTCCCTAACTAATCAAATGTCAAGGCCATGGCTGTCTCTGGGTAATGAATCAGTGAGCCTGGGGTAGGGGCCTGAGGTTCACACATCCTCAGTGGGTGGCAACTCCTACATGTCAGGGTTGAACTCTACAGGGGGACAAGAGGATGAAGGAGAAAGCTTAAGTCACATTTCCGAGGCTCGAAACAGCAACACGGCAGCATGTAGACACAGGGGAATCCCAGAAAAGGTAGGGCAGGGCGCAAGTGAGTGTGGGCAGGATAGGATCTGCCGCCTCGGGGAGCGGTGGGGCTGCTTGAGTGCAAGCTTCAGCAGCCCCAGACTACACCTGGACCTGAGGAAGAGCACAGGCATGGAGGTGTTCAAAGCTCATGATGTGCTCATCCATCCCATCAGGGCCATGTCCAAGACAGACTTTACAAACCGGCCCATGGAGAGATCTGGACGCCTACAAACACAGGCAATGTGCTGTGAATCGTTGAACAGATCCATCCAACCCCTCATTCAACTGGAGATTTCATTCATTAACACGGAGAAAAAAAGCAATGCACTCTTCTGAAGGGCACTCTACACGGCACTTAACGGAGATTTAGACCTGGAATGGCCTTGCAATCTGGATCTTTGAGAACAAGTGGAGATTTGGGTGGGAGAGGACCTGGAAGGCAAAACATCTCAAGACCGATACCTGAATCCAGAGCCCTCCTAAGGGGCCATCTTGTGTCCTGCATGACTCAAGGAAGGAAGGGGTGGGGGGCAGTGTGATGTGAAGCTAAAATCAGGTCACAGCAAGATCACCTCACTTTGGGTTCACTTAGGTAAGAGACAGTACAACTGGGAGCTTGTGGTTCACACCAACTACCATAGGTCAGCCTTCCTTTGAAGCTAACGTAGGATGACCCCGGGGCTCAGAGCCTATGCCAGGAACAGCAAAGTAGCTGAGATTGAGCAAAGTTGTCACTTTTTAGCTATCTTATACTTCTAGTAAAGACATGTTAACTTTTAAACACATTTACCTGCATCTTATATATATATATATATATATATATATATATATATATATATATATATATATATTTTTTTTTTTTTTAAAGGGCTGGAAAGATGGCTCAGCAGCTGAACAGAGTTTGCTTTTGCAGAAAACCCAGGTTGGAGTCCAAGTACTCACAATGGCTTTCTCAAAGTTACCATCTGTAACTCCAGCCTCAGGGGATATGATGTCTGATGGGGGATGTCCTGTATTTATGTTTCTCTTATTGGTTGATGAATAAAACACTGTTTGGCCAGTAGAGGCAGGAAGACAGGCGGGACTAGGAGACAAGAGGAGAATTCTGAGAAAGGCAGGCAGAGAGGGAGACCGGAAAGAGACGCCGCCATGGAGGGACGGGGATGGTGGGACGCGCCAGGTGTTCTCTGGTAAGATAAGGTCATGTATAAACACTTAGGTTAATAGAAATGGATTAGTAATTAAGACAGAGATAGCCAACAAGAAACCCTAGCCATCGGCCGACAGTTTAATAATGTAAGTCTCTGTGTGCTTATTTAGGGCTGAGAGAAGGGCAGCTGGACCTGGCGGGACAAGAAAACCTCTGCAACAGGTGTCTCCCTCGGGTCTTCCACAGGCAATGCACACGTACGGTGCTCACACACGCTCGCGCACACACATACACACACACACAAAGTAAGAAATTTAAAAACAAAAAATTATTTAAAATGATCAAGACCCCCAAATGTGAGAGTCAGTGATGAGGCCTGGGCAGCCTATGGGACCCTGAGCAGTGGATCAGTGTCTATCCCTGGAATACAAACAGACATCGTGTGTCCATAGCACAAAGAGGGTTTCTCTCTCAGCCTGGACTCTTAGGGGAGTGCCTGGACCCTGCCCTGAGTGAAATGACAGATTCTAGATATCCCCTATGTGGAAGGAATTGGCAATAGGGTGGGAGCCTTGGGGGGGATAGTGGGGGGGGTACGGGAGGAGGGGAGGGAGAGGGAACTGGGATTGACATGTGAAGCAAGCTATTTAAAATTAAAGTAATAATAATAAAAGGAAAAAATTTTAAAAACATGTAAAAAATCTAAAGTATATTTTTAAAGAGAAGCACCGGTTGGGTGTGGTGTGCCCCCCTGTGCTTGGGATACTGAGGCAAGAGGACGGACGAGCGCCAACCCGGGCTGCGCAACAAAGCATAGCAAGGCCCAGTCTATTAGATAAACAGATGTATAAATAAACAGAATATCAAATAAATCAGGTAGAGCCCTACATGAGGAGAACCAAAGAACTCTTAACAAGCAGTGTGCCGCCACGCGTGACTCCTCCCCCCCCCCTCACTGTGACACGCTTTTTCACTCCAAGGCATGCAGAAAGGGGTGGCTGAAAGTACCATGGTAAGAGCCGAGCATCGCTGCTGTCCTCCCAAGCAACGTAGATTTCCTAACAGGTTGAAGATGATCATAGAGATTCATCATCATTAAACTCAATGTATCTTTTTTTTTGGTATGCATGTGTTTGCTACTCAATAGACGCAAATCCCACTCTGTGCATGCTCTCCTACCACAAGGCCAGGATCATCCCCGCAGACGGCCATCTACAGTTCACACGAGAGCAGACTGAGGCATGGAGTGACTGCTGTTAGGCTCAAGGGTTCTTGAACGTGCAGGAGAACTGCTCAATACAATAGACACATTTTCCGTACACCCAAGCTGCTAGCAGGCAACATGTTGGAAGCCTCTATCTGGATGCTGATGAGGCATTCATTCGGTCATTTCATGACTGCAAGGCTGAGGACCTGGATCTGTATCCCAGTACCCATGAAATAGCTGGCATAGTGGTGGGGGAGACAGAGACAGGAGGGTCCCTGGATCTCTCTGGCCAGGCAATCTGGCTGAATCAGCGAGCTCCTGATTCAGCTCAGACTCTCGAAACATAAGGTAGACAGTGGCTGTGGAAGGTACCTTACATCAGTCTCTGACTCCAGCCACACACATATGTGCAAACACACACACACACACACACACACACACACACTCAGAAAGAGAGAGAGAGAGAGAGAGAGAGAGAGAGAGAGAGAGAGAGAGAGAGAGAGAGAGAGAGAGAGAGAGAGAGAGAGAGAACACATCAAGGTGTGTAAGTGACTAATCAGTTGTCCGGAATGCCGACTCCCAATTCCTGGAAGATGAGCCTACTCCCATCCTATAAATCGACACTACTCCCCCCCCCCCCCACAACTACTTTCCCTACTATATCTGCCCAGGGCTCTGCAGGGCATCCTGCAGAGCAAGAACAAAAGATTCTCTTCCCATTGTGAGAGAAAAAGCTATACAAACGTTTATATTCCAAATCCTTAACTTAAAAAAAAAAGTATCAGATGCTGGCCCATGGCTGGACTTGGCTGGGTGACCCCCTGGATGGAAAAGTCCCATTATGCTCCCTGCTGGTGGCTGCCCAAGAGCTCGAAAATGAGCCGCTTATTTCAGATTTCATCTTGTTTCCTTCTCATAGGCTCCGCACTCTGGCCTTGCCCATTAAGATGAAAAATGTGTAAAGATGAGGGTAACTAACCTACTGCTCCATTCCGTTATATGGAGTATTTTCTACTTATAGGGTGGCGGGGAGGATGTGGACAGGAAGCCAAATGAACCCTGGGTTCAATTCCTATAATAGAAATTGCACTTTACAGACTGTAGGATGATAGAGAAAAAAAAATCAATACAATGATTACGGAATTGGCATCCTGAAGAAGGCTTGCGGTAGCTGGGTCAATGGAGGACATAAGTCCCCCGACTTGTCCCCCTTCCCCCATGTAGAGGCACAAAGGCAAAATGGAACATCTCCAAAAGCTGCTTTTTAGGACAAAAGCTAGAACTAATAATGTATAGGGAAACCTAAATTCACCAACATTCAAAAATGACAGAAACACATAAAATGGCTTACAGAAAATTAAACCAATAATGATGTCTAACGGAAACAAGGAAATGACAATGTGTGGGATATTAATTAATGCATTAGCAGGGTTCTCTAAAGGAAAAAACCTAATTGCTGCTGTTAGGCCTTGAATCACATCCATGGCCTCAGGGTGTTCAAAATAGCTCATAGCCGTTATAATTCTGAAATAAAATTATTCAGAATAAAATAGTAACATGAAATATCAATAAAAATATTAATTAGTATTTTAAGTAGTAACTCAAATATCTATCAGCCCACGATCCTAAAATATATTTCTTCCTCCAAAGGTCACGGGACTTCTCAAAGTACCTCCAAGGTTTTCTGTGTGGGGTGCTCAGGATGCCAGTTAGAAAGAAATACCCATGACTTAACCCACTCCAGGATGGTCCTCCTGGTGAGCAATCTGTGTTAACAAGCTCCCTCAACAATTCAGACACGCAAAATCAGAGTGTGGGGTCAGCAGTCCCATGGGCCCACAGTTTCCTGAAGGACATGGGGAGAGGCCCAGCCAACCGCTTGCCACTCTTGAAAACCTGAGTGGAAGAGGTGTGTGTGTACACAAGTGTGTGTGTGTGTGTGTGTGTGTGTGTGTGAGGCTGGAGGTCAAGTCCAGGACCTCACGCATCCTAGGCAAACCCTCTACCATAGAGCTACATCTCAGGATCAGAATTAAGACCTTGGGGTTTTCATTGGTCAAAAACCTCTAGGGCCTTGCTGATGCCATGGAGAAACCTTGGCAGCCATGCGAACCAGCTATAAACAATACAAAAGATAGCACCCATAGACAATGCTAGCACTCCTGCAGGGTCAGACTCTTTATGCAAAGGGGGAGGGGGACATCGTGGATGGGATGACACCAGAGGACAGACCAGCCGTTCATCCTCCTTGTGCCCCCTGTCTCGGTTTCTCTTCCCTCTCCACCAGGAACAGGCCTGCTTCTGATGAGGAAGGGCACTGGGTTTGACCCCACGCGTCCTCCTGCTGGGAAACTTCTTCAGGAAGCAAACTACCCCAAGAGCTCCCGTGGTGCCCCTCCAGCCCAACTCTTGGTCGAACCAGGCATAAGAAACAGCGGTGGCACCTGTCAGCTGCTGGACTAACTGCGGGGTTGTCGAGGCCCGTGGTTTACCCACCTTGTATTTCTGGGCTTTCCCCAGCACGTTTGCCAGGGAGAACATAAGAGAGTGATCGTTAGGAATTAATTCCAGGGCCTCTCTCCCGACTGCTTCAGCCTGGGCTAAATTACCTGGGAGGAGAAAGGAAAAACCCCATCAATACGGTACTCGTGTCTCCATCTCTCTAGAGAAGGACTTAACACGCATCGTACGTGACCACGAACACACTACTCCGGAAGACCCAAGCAGAACACGTGAAGACGACCCACAGCCCGGTGAGCGGGAGGGCCGTGGCAACTCAGCACGATTCTGACTGGAGAGGTGAGGACCTTCCCGCGACATTCTAGAAAGCCACGTTAAACTTTTCTGCCAGACACCTGTTACACAGTGATTTTTGTCACATTATGTTCAGATATGTCAGAGAACTTCATTTTTTAGATAGATAGACAATAGTATTATTGCGTGTCAGGGTGGTTTTTGCACGGGCTGGCCAGATGTCAGAACCAAGTGTCTTATTTGACACAGGGACAGGGTCTCTCACTGAACTTGGAGCTCACGAAGTAGGTTAGTCTAGCTGGTTAGTGAACCGCCAGGGGATCCTCCCGTCTCTACCTCCCAGTTCTGGGGTTACAGGTCTCGGCTATCATGCCTAGGCTCTTTATGTGGGTGCACAGAGTAGAACTTAGGCCCTTAGGCTTGTTCAGCAAGCATTTTACTGACTGAGTCATCTCACCTGCCCCCAAAAAGCCAGACATTTTTGTAATACCAGGTAACACCAGATTTCCCCCCTCCCTTCTTCCTTTGCTTAGAGTTTCACTATGTTATCTTGGTTAAACCCAGGGATCCGCCTGCCTCTGCCTCCCATGTGCTGGGATTAAAGGTGGATACCACTACGCCCATCTTATTTATTTTTTTAGATTGAAGGAATAGCACGAGTCTACATGCCCTGTTAGTCTGTGGAGATGACACTGGTTTACGCAACCCGAGTAGCCTGTGTGGATGACACTAGTCCTCCATCAGCCCACAGGACTGGATGGCGGGACCCCTCATCATCCCCTCTCCTCCGCACCTGTGTTGTCCAGGAGTATGATCATGTTGTTCCACGCCAGGCTGTGTTCCGGCTTCAGTACGGTGGCATTTCTCCATGCGTTCAATGCGTCCACGTGGCGATTTAGATCTGCATACTGGAAGCAAAATACCCCCAAAGTCGACATCCCGACTCTTCTTTTTCCCCTTTCTACAGTATCGCCAACAAAGACAAATAAAGTTCCACAACAGAAACAGGAACCCCTGCCTTACCATCACTCATGGAGCTTCTCATTTTTCCTACCAAGCCATGTACTTGAAAAACAAAAACAAAAACACAAAACCAAAAAAAACAAAAACAAAAACAAAAACAAAAACCCGGCCCCAGGTGCCATGACAACTCCACGTTACAGAGGCAACAACCGAGGAAAACTTTGAGCGACTTACTTAAGCCACATGTCTAGAGACGGAGGGTCAGGGGTTAGAGCCAGGTGGCCTGGGTCCTGAGCCAAGAAGCATAACGGCATAACGTATTATTTGCTGATCACAGTTACACAAAACCACATTTCAAGCTCCAGAGAGATGCTATTATTCTTCTACTCCAGAAAGGCTCCTATACAGTCTGTCTTTATTAATAAAGCATTATCTAGAACAGTAAACTAGTGTTTTAAGTAACTAACGTTGTAGTGGGCTGGGGAGATGGCTCCGAGGGTCACGTGCTTACACGTGCAACCCCGTAACACAGGTGGACCTCCAGGAGACTACTAGCCAGCTAGTCTAGCTGAAATGGCAAGGTCAGAAACAGTCAGAGACCCTGCCTCGAAAAATAAGGATAGCCACAGGGGAGCATATCTAAAACCGGATTTTAGCCTCCATATGTGTACACACGGGCTTATCTTTCTCCTCTCCCCTTCTCTCCCTCCCCTTCACTCTCTCTTCCTACCCACCCCCCCACTCTCTCTCACACGGCCCCTCGCCCCCGCAGAAGTGGCAGATGGAGGGGGGCACAATCGTGGGGGGAAAGAGCGCACATGCATGCTATATGCCTAACTTGCTTGTTTTAAAGAATGGTTTAGAAACCCCTTATGACTATCTAAACTCAAGACAAAAATACAGGCTACTCAGATACATTTTGTAAACTCCTTGGAAAAGACCCACACAGTTGTGGAAAACCCCTCAGCAGTTTGGATGCCCTTTGCCTGTTTGGGAAGAAGAGAATGTGAGCATTTGCATGTGGGGGTCCAAGTACATTTCATCTGAATGCACTCCTTCCTTGAAACTCGGCACAAATTTCAAATGACAGAAATCGATGGCAGATTAGGTTATCACTTCCTTCCTGCTTACTAAGTACACTTTCCACGGGGCAACAAAAATTTTTTTGACTTGTCCTATGGCCCATGCAACAAATAGGTGACTTTAGGTTTAATGAATTATGAAAATGGGAGCTCACGGACCACAGAGAAACCAGCACAGGACTGTTCTAGACCCCCTAAACGTGTCAGTTTGGACATCTGGTTAATCTATGGGGCCTCTGGTAGTGGATCAGTATTTATTCCTAGTACATGAATGGACGTTGGGAGCCCACTCCCCATGGAGGGATACTCTCTCAGCCTAGACACACGGGGGAGGGTCTAGGCCCTGCTCCAAATGATATGACAGACTTTGAAGATCCCCCATGGAAGGCCTCACCCTTGCTGGGGACCAGAAAGGGGATGGGATAGAGGGACCGGTGGGGGGCAGGGAATGAGGGGAGGGAGAGGGAACTGGGTTTGACATGTAAAAGAAGCTTGTTTCTAATTTAAATTTTAAAAAAAGGAAAAAAAATTAAAGAAAGAAAAATATGTCAGAATTTCTCAAATTTCTTGCGAGGCTTAGACTATCAGGTTGTAATATTTTGTCCTTTAAACCATTGGGAAACACTATAAAAATGGAAATAAACAGGGCTAATAACACTAAATAAATAACCCTAAATAAACACTAAACATTAAACTTGGTCTCTGCACTGGAAGTGTCGAGTCAGTTCTCTGCAGTGTGTAACACACATGTGAGTCACCTGGACGGCCAGAGGTGACACTGTAAATTCCTCAGACAGCACACGTCCTCACACAACGTTTTCAACTCATCCCTCACTATTACTCTTGACTGTTGTCACTGCTTGTTGAAGGCTGAACCGAGGGGTTTACGGCGCGACTCACCCATGATGAGATTTTTAAGACTTTTTCTCCCCTTTTTAAATTTCTTTTTTCCTTTTTTTCTCTTACAATTTGTTTTATTTTGGGGGGTGTGTGTGCAGGGGCAGAGGGCTGATGCGAAGGGACAGGGAAGTGAACGGTATCAAGATACATGATGTGTAAAAGACATACAGGATAAATAAAAAGAAAAGAAAACAGAGAGATGTGGCGACTTAATACTCATGCATCCCATACTTGGCTCCTGGTCCCTTACCACCGGACTCCTTGACACTTTTTTTTTGTCAGCCTCAGAAAGTCAAGGCCAGAGAACCATGTTTTTCCCAATTTGCATCCTGCCCTCCTCCTCCTCCCGTCGCCCTCTCCTCCACTGTCCCATGCCTGGAAGCCACGGGTCTGTCCTCCATACGGCAGCTTCTGAGTTCGGTTCTCCTTCCATTCACATGCTTCCCCAAAACCTGCGGGTTTCCTTCCCTTCATTATTTATTTCTCCATCAATACATTTCCATTTTTGCTCTTCCCCCAACACCAGGTCCTTCTGCTAAGGCTTCCCAGTTCAAAACACTCAGCATGTTTTCCTCTTTTCCCAAGCCCGGGAACTGACACAGACGGCCAACGTCTGCACGGTAAACAGTCGGCAGCATCCTCCGAGTCACTGTCACCACCACCCCCCTCGAGGATCAGCACTGTGCCCCCAGTAACCCGGGCTCTTCCCATTTCCTCCATAATTGAATTACATCCTCTTCTTTATCAAATCCACAAATCAAAGCAGGCATCTGTCTCCCGTTATAAAGACATGACGTCTAAAACGGACACTCTGAAGTTATTAAGTTTCCTCTTATTTCCAGATACGTACAGGGCAGGTTGAGCTGTTAAAGATTAAGCCTTAATGCTTTTAAGCTGTCAAGAGCAAAGGCTGGATAATTAAACCTCAACGGAGAGCAAGAGCCTCCAGACACCAGGCCGTGTGGTAATTTAATGCCATTTCAGGGCAGCACAATAGGTAAACAACTCCGAGGTATCCTTGTTTCGGGGCTATGACTGGTCAATTCCAGGGAAAGCATCATAAAGCCCGAGGCTAGAGCTCGCCATCCCAAGCTTGTATTTTATGTTCTGTGATCTTTTCTTTGGGTGCTACTCCTACTGGGGCTCATTTAGCATAAATCCCATTTTCTAAATCCCAGTTAACAGCAGTGACAGGCAGGGTGGAAGCTGATGGCTACTGTGGAAGCTGCAGGCGGACACATGTGCTTTGCGAGCAATAGCCCGAAAGGAACTGCCTCTAGAAGAGGTGCAGCACCCAGGACTTCACAAGCACCAAATCTCACGTCACCTAAGTACTAGTGTAACTGACCCAGCGAACAAGAGACTCTGCCTCCCAGCATGGATTTAGGTTGACACATCTGCTCCCTCCGCTCTCTCCCTTTGTCAGCACTGAGGACCTGCCCTGGTCTGTATGCGATCGAGGTTATTACGGTCTCTATTCACATTATCAGGAGGTTTTAAAGGTGCCCTCCACCCCCTGCGCATCCCTAGGAGAGATAAATACTTCTTCAGCATAGACGTCCGCATCATTATAAAGCGATGCGTTTTGAAATATGAAAGCAGCACCCAGGGCCCAGTAGTCACGGGGACGGCCAGCGAGGTCAAGAGAATGAAACGCTCGGCCTGTGTGTTCAGACCTCTTGTTCCCTGGGGTCAGTCATGTTGCTGTCACCCCTCTGCGGTGCCCTGGAGGAAGTAACTCCTCTTTCTGGCACTGGCTTAGGCTTCTGGAGATGGTGTCTTCCTGTTGTACTTTTAACTAAAACAACTTTAGTGTTTTGTTTTTTTTTTTTAATAAAAAACCACATAAGCAACATCATTCTGAAATTTATAACACGAACATTATCTGCCCACTTAAAGGGACTTGACCTTGCACCCGCTGGTCACTAGGGAAACCAGAAATGCTAAACACACAGGGGCCTCTTCTCGATGGTGGAGACAAAAATACTGTTTTCCTACCCAGAAGGCAGGGAGTGGATTTTGTTAAAGACCTGGTGACCGTTTTGCTCTCTGTGGAGGCAGCCGCCACCTACCCTTTGGTATGGAGGCAGACCTCACCTAAATTCTCCAGAATGACTATCCCAGACTAATCTCTCTGTAGACGATTACCCATCCTTAGGGGAAACACCATGTGTCCTTTATGTCCTTCTGACCTCTATGCTATTGGTTGGAGATCACACTAGATTCTAGACCTTTCAACTTATAGAACCCACCCGCCTGGTCACATGTACTTTGTAAAGGAGTCTCTGTGTTGTCACACTTTAAGCTTTATCGTGCACCTGGGATTGGACTGGCTGTTGCCTGGAAACAATGGTGCTTACTGTGTTTTTAAATTTGCTGACAATGACCCAAAGCCTGATCCAGGCTGACAGAGTCAATCTGTGCCAGGTTTTCATTCGCATCCCCACACATGGTTTGCTTCCCTGTACGTGGCCTGCAGGGGTGACCCCTCAGTCTACCATGAGAAAGTCAGCTACTGCTCATGGCCTTACACCCCACCATTTCTTTTCCTCTGTTCATTCACCTGCGCAGTTCACAAAATCATGGCACGTCACTCCAGAAGCAAACACATTAAATGGAAGTCTATTCTTCATATTAAAAAAGAAAAAGAAACCAAACATCCAATGTTTTCTGGGTTTCCCTTCTGCTTTGACACGGTCTTTGGGTCAAAGTACAGAGTTCGGAGAGGGATGCTTCCCAAAGGCAGGGGGACATTTGTTATCTTTTATAGAAAATACAAATGTTATATGGAAGCTCTCAATTATCAAATATGAGATGAAGTGCTTATCTGGATGAATAACTAATGTAGGGGAGGACTACTGGTTTTGTTCATACAAAGACTGCATAATATGAGGATACTTCAGGTATTTCAAATGGGGATAAATAAGTTATTTTTTTTTAAAGACCTGTGAATTTTACCTACTTATGAAGTTGTACACTTCTTTTTTAAAGATGTCCCATCATTGTGCATACAATCCACTTTGGCTCACATAGACCAAAAATATTTTCCTCCTCAATTTCACCTAGTAAATCTAATGACTCCTGTTTAAAGGATGCTGCTGCTTAGGTCATTATTTAATGGGGGCTGTCCTTTTGTATGCTGTGAATATATGTTTTTCTTATTGGTTGATGAATAAAGATGCTTCAGCCAATGGACAGGCAGTATTTAGCCAGGCAGGAAATCTGAACAGGGATAAATAAGGGTAGTAGGCAGAGTCAAGAAGACACCATGTAGCCACTGTGGAGAGATGTAGATTAATAGAAATGGGTTAGTAATTAAGAGAGCTAGCCAATAAGAAGCCTGAGCTATTGGCCAAACCGTTTATGATTAATATAAGCCTCTATGTGTTTATTTGGGACTAAACAGCTGTGAGACAAGGTGGGCCAGAAACTTCCATACACAAGAAAATTAGGAGCAATCAGATTCCTTTAACTATTCTGTCAAAAACTAGAAATATAGATTAATTCAAGCATTCTAGTTTCTAGTTTCATTAAGTAAACTGCAAGGCCCTTTCAGATACACACTCTAACTCCGGAAGCCGTCTTTTGGAGGAGAATATCCCCTTGAGAAAGAAGAGATCTGCTCCCTTGGGGAAGAAGAACAAGGGAGCTCAGAAATCTTTTAAACCTTAGCTTCTACTCAATTCATGTTTTAAAAATAAAACAAAACCAATGTTTATCAGAAAGTATGTTTTCCAGGGCAGAAGGGATGTACAGAATTTTCATTTAATCTATTGCCTTCGTGACTTTATAAACTGGACTCACTCGGTCTGGATGGCTCATTAATTAGAACTTTGGCAGTACAAACGAGGAAACCAAATCGCTACTTCCAAAGGAGATGAAACACACACACACAGAGGACGTCTGTAATGAGGAGAGCCCTGGACGGGTTTAAGGGGATTCTGTTTATGGGGATGGGAAATTGGGGCAGTCTGTCCTTACCAGCCGCCCAAGGTTGTAGTAGCAGTCTGGGTATTTCCTCCTGTGCTTAATTGCCGTCCGGTAGCTTTGCTCTGCTGCCTCGAACCGTTTCAGGCTATTCTGAACTATGCCCAAATTCATCCACGCGGCTGCAAAGTCTGGCCTAGGGAAGCATTTTTTTTAATTTTGTTTTTATAAAAAATAAACAAGAAACAGAGAAGACTGAATGACGGCCCAAACCCAGGATCCATATTTTTTTTTTTTGTCCTTGGCAGAGAGCTAAGAAGAGAAAAAGGTGCTTACTGTATCTGGACAGCCAATGACAGCAGCTCCTCAGCTTCCTGTAGCTCATCCCTCTCTTTTAAGATATTACCGAGGTTATTCATGGCATGAATGTACTTGGGGTTTAGTCTGGAAGTGGGGAGGAAAGCCAAAGAGACCGTTACTGTCCCCCTTTGTTTACACCCAACACTCGGAGAATCAGCAGAGATGGAAGAGCTTTTCAGGGAAGGGCCAGGCATCTCGGAAAGTGAAGATTCACGGGCGCACACTCAGGCACGCACGCACGCACACACACATGCACGCACGTGCACACACGTACCTGACTGCTTCCCGGTAGTATCTGATGGCCGCTGTTTGGTTGCCTTGGTCAGCCAGGTTTTTGCCAATGTTGTAGTGAACCTGAAAACACAGGTGACAATTTGGCTATCGGCACAGAGACTTCTCTGTTCAGAGCTGGACACCTAACGGACCGTCTGACTGGAGACGCAAAGAAAAGGGATTTAAAACAAAACAAAACAAATCTGCCAGAACTAAGAGACCCTATGTTGAGGCTGGGGGGCGGGGGGATGATGGTGGTGGGGTGGTCGCAAGCCACGAGGGACAACATGCAGACCCAGCTGTAAATATGACGGGAAGGAAAATGGCTACGTCACCCCCCGGAGAAAAACCAGAAAGTCACAAAACTAAGCTGTCTGGAAAGCCCCATGTCCTCCTCTGTGACTAACCTCAGAGTCGAGATCACAAGTCAGTCACCTGCAGACCCGAGACAGAAGTAACAGTTCTGTCACTTTTCCCTAAATCCAGTCCTCTCCGGTCTGGCATATTCCTCTGGTAGCACTGCAAGCTCTTTCCTCCCTGCATCGTGAGTGGGATGCTTTTGTCTCCCATCCCCGAATTCATACAATGGCATCCTAACTCCTAACGTGAGGGGTTAGAAGGTGGGAGCTTTGGAAGGTGGAGAGGTCATAAACGTGTCCCCCCCTCTCACTTTATTATTTTAGGGTCTCACTGAAAAGATGTCTGTCCTTCTCAGGGACCACTACCCACAGGTGCCTTCACTGTGGGTTCCCCAGCCTCCAGAATCTACCATTTTATCCCCAGCCCACAGTGTTCTTTTATGGCAGCCTAAACTAAGAAGCTACCAACTAACATCTACCACTGTTCATCCTTCAGGCAGTGCTGATGACGACCGAGTAAGTCGAAGTCCCAGCAGCCGGGGACAACATGGAGGCCAAAGCCCAAAGCCCTGTCTCACAGCACCCCTGGCCAATGACTACACGTCTACCTCAGTACCAGTGTCCCTGCACAGGCTGCGAGGGAAAGGTCACGTCCTGGTTTCAGAGAGCCCGGGGAAGAGTCCTATGGGACGGACTTCCTGGCTGGAATCTGACCCTAGCTACTAGGGAAAGGTTTGGCATAGAGGATGCCCTCTGAAGAAGGGGCAACCCAGGCAGTGTAGGGAGGAGAGGAAGCTGGTGTTGGGACAGGAGGCTCAGGGTTGCTGGAGAGCTGAGGGCAGGAATAGCAAGGTGGCAGCAGGCTGTTGAGAGCAGCAAGGCCGGTGCCCTCGGGGTGTCGTGAGGAGATGCCACCGATCGGGGTTCACACAGCACTGCCAGTCTCAGTTCTGAAGTCCAAGCCTAAGGGAGGAGCTCTTCCAGCCTGGTCTCGGTGTTTGCTGGTGACCAGACGCCTCTGTGCCGCGCTGTTCACACACCAGTGAACTTCCCTGTCCCCGCGTCTCTTCTCAGTCCTGATGTAAGCCCTGTCTTCCTGCTTACCTTTGGTATAGCAGAATGCCACAGGATGCTAATTTCTAATACAGAAATGTATTTTGCCCAGTTTTAAGACAGAGAGGCTGTGAAGTCTAAGGGATGGAGGGTGGGGGGTTCCTTGATGATAACTCGGAACGCAGTGGAGGTTATCAGATGGCAAGACAGTGGGTATGTGTTTTTCAGAGGTTACTTCTGGTTTACTGTGCGCAGGCCAAGTCTCTCCCCTTATGAAGCCTCGTCCTTACATCTTCCTCAGACTCAGCTGAGGTCAGGCAGCAAACACCTTTACCTACTAACTCATCTTGTTGGCCACAGAAAGGCTAATTTATATGATGGAAGTTTTTACGTTCATTAAGAATGAAAGAGAAGCCAGGCAGGTCTTTAACGCCAGCACTCAGGGGCCAGAGGCAGGCGGATCTCTGTGAGTTTGAGGCCAGCCTGGTCTACAAAGTGAGTCCCAGGACAGCAAGGGCTATGCAGAGAAACCCAGTCTTGAAACAACAATAAAAAAGAATGAGAGAGAATATGAGATGATCATTAATGATCAGAGAAGCCATTTGGAGAGAAGATCGAAGAAACAGGACTCATGGTTGAAAAATCAATGAGAAATTCTTAACCATCTTAGAATGAGGACACCTGGGGTGGGGGGACGATTCAGAGTATTTTCTCAGTTAGGCATGGGCTTGGATTATATTACAGAGAAATGTCAGGTGTTGGTGGTGCATGTCTGCAATTCTAGCACTTGGAAAGTAGAGGCAGAGGGATCAGTTTAAGGTCATCATTGGTTGGCTACAAAGACAGTCAGGGCTACTTGAGACCTTATCTCAAAAATACCATTAAAACAAAACAAAAAAGGGAGCTGGGACCTGGACTTGGCAAGCAGGATGCCTTTGGCCCTGAAAATCAAAAGCTCTCCCCAGGACCATAAAAGCCAGTGGCAATCCCAGGAGGAGATGCCACACATCTCTGTTTAGAGAGGAAGACTCAGGGCGAATGACAGACCATAGTTATCGCCTCCTACAGAGGGCCACCAAGATTTGCCAATATCTTCCCCCATACGCAGGTTCTGAGCTTAAGGAGCTGCTGCCTCCCCTTTTCGGATCTGGTAAACCTCTTTGGTATTTATTAGAAACGATGAGGCTGAATCTGAGCCCCGGTTCCTAAGTCCGGTTTTTAACCACAGTACACCCGCGTCCCAGGCGCTGGGCGAAGGCTGGCTGACTGCTGTAGGCCACTTGGATGCCTCGCCACACTGCCTGCTCTTCTTGAATAATGCCAGCTACTGTCTTCTGCTATGTGCCACAGACTGAATATAGTGTCCTCAGTGTTCAGACAATGAGGCCCGGGGCTGCGGAGTCCTGGCCTTTAAGGTGTAATAAAGTAGAATCGAGGTCGCATGGGGGGGGCAACACCCTAATCTGACTGGGTACAGACAGAGATGAAGACGGCTGTGCACAGGGACGACCACATGAGGACACATGGCTGGAGAGGCCTCCACAGAAAGCAGCCCTGCTGGCACGCTCATCGTACATGTCTAGTAGAACTGATCTCTGCTGCTGCAGGCTCAAGGTCTCAGGGCGTCATGCAGTGGTGACCCAAGCGAACGTATGGAATCCTGAAACAGTACTCGGGCAGGGCGGGGCACTGGGCTCTGAAAATGAACCTGTCCTGCACGGTCAGTCTCAAAAACCCAGCTACAGCACTGCCTGGTATGTTTGGATTTCTATAAGCTCCTCTCTTACAGATCCCTTTCACGTAGCCAATTTTAAGATAGCTACGTTTGTGTCTACCTGGTTCAATGAGGGAAATCCGAAGCAGAGACATGCTGATGTAATATGCCTGAGTGCCGCCTTCTTCACCACACACACACGCCCCTCACACACACATGTGCCCCTCACACACACACACACCCCTCTCAAACACACACCCCTCTCAAACATACACACACACACACACACACACATACACCCCACACACAGAAACTTCCTGGATCGTAATTCTGTCCATTCGTTGGTATTTTCATTCTGACATTACAGCTCAGAAGCAGTGGTTCAGTAAACGCTATTGCCAGGGCAGGCCACAATATTTGTGGCCTCATTCCATTCCAGGCACGAAAGGATGGAAAGCTGGAGGGTGCCACCAAGAGGAATGTCCTCCTGGTCACCGGGACACAAATACAGCTTCTGCTCAAATGTGGGCACGGCGGCGGCCTCTTCTGCCCGCAGCTCCTGCTGCTTTCCCTTTGTCCTCTCCCTAAGCCGTCCTCAAAGAGTTCAGCTGCCCTCTGCAGCTTGGCCAGGGTTCTGCGAGACACTCACAATGCCAGGCCAGAATCCCAGGGCAGAGGACAGGCCACTGTGAAAAGCTGGGTAGCAGTTATTGGAACTGAGCGGGCTAGGAGTCGGATTCAGGCCCAGAAGACACTCCAAAAGTAAGATGCCATTGTCACTCTATGGATTCGGCAGGGAATTCGGTGGAAAGAAAACAGCTGTCTAGATTGGGCCAAGTGACGCAGAAAACGGGGCCCGACGACCAGGCTACTGTTGGCAGCGTTTAAAAAAATGAGTGATTTTTGTTACCGTGGTATACAGAAGACTGAAAGAGGCCATTTATCCAGCTCTCCTTCCAGTCTTTGTACCTCATGTGCTGAGACAAGGAAGTCAGATTAAAACAGCCACGGCCATTAAATGGCATACACACAGGTAAAGAGCTAACGGCATCCACTATGAAGGGCACTTTCGATACCTTTGCATTAGAAACTGGCTGTTTCAAATACCCTGCCGACGTTGAAGGTTGCCAAACCTAAAATGTTTGAACACAGAAAACTTCAGTAATCACCCTTAAGGAAATACCTTGGGGTGGTATATGGTTCCTTTCTTTCACTGTTAAAGTAATTTAGAACTGTATCATGGGGTTGATATTAAACGCAGCATATGTTAAAGCCTTAAAAAACTAAAACGACTGCCAATAAATCCAGTACTTGGACTCTCACACACGGTAGGCTTGAAGAACACAAGTTTCCATTTGGCCCAATTCAATAACTAATATTAGGCAATTACCACATGCAAGGCACTGTGGGTAGTTTCAATGCAGGCCAGGAACCAGCACTACCTATACCGGTATCTCAAGCTCTCAAAGTTTAAAAAAAAAAAGGCGAGTCTCAGTTTATGAATCTGGGTCTGAACAATAGCGAGGTGCCAACTGCTTGCTTACTATTCAGAGGCAGTGGAGACCAGCGCAGAAAATAAATCGCCTGGAAAAGGACTGATAGGATACAGCAGTCTCCAAAGGGGGAATAAGAGGAGGACGATTCGACGTGTGAGTGTATAACAGGACAGTTAAAACAGAGCAGAAACTCTATCTTGATGGGGAATGTCCTTCCGTATATATGCTTCTCTTATTGGCTGATGAATAAAACACTGACTGGCCAGCAGCCAGGCAGGAAGCATAGGCGGAGCTACCAGACGGGAAGACTGGGTTGAGGAGAGAGGGGTGGCAGGGAGATGCCATGTAGTGGAGGAAGGAGTAACAGGTCCAGACCCTTCTCCAGTAAGATAAGACCACGTGGAAATACTTTGATAGAAATGGGTTAATAAATTAAGAGAGAGCCAGCCAGTAAGAAGCCCTAAGCCATCGGCTAAACAGTTTACACATTAATTTAGGTCTCTGTGTGTTTATTTGGGGCGAATCGGTTGCAGGAGCAGGCAGAAAAGTAACTCCAGCTACACTATCTTGCTTACATTAAATGGCATTGAAAAAAAAATAATGAATACCATGGCACTGGCTTAAAGCTGAGGTCTTTATGCACACCTTAGTTAGAAAGAGACACACACATACCCTTGACCATGTGATGCCCATGTGTGAACTCCCTGTCTTCCAGTCTGTTATGGCTGAATTCACACACTGGGAAGATTTTCCAGGCCAAGACAGCAAATACACACACACACACACACACACACACACACACACACACACACACACACACACACACATATATCCCCATGCCCCTTGCTTACCATGGTTACCTGTGCACAGCAAACCACCCTGCTGGATCTCCACCCAGCCACTCCAATTACTAGTTCCAGCTACCCCTTTCTATGCCTCAGTTTCTCCCAGCTGAGGAAATAAAGAAAGTAATGCCCTCTACCTAAATCCTTAGCAAGAGGACAATGGTGGGATTGATTATAATGCCCCGTGTAGAGACAGGAGTTCCCCCACAGCGAGGAACTACATAAGCAGATCGGGCAATTGGTGCTGTCCACGCAGGGACGTAAACGTAAAGGAAATCCTGTGTCTATGAAGTTAAACTGCTACTGAAGTTGACTCACGGAAGACAGCGGTTGCTCAGCAAAGCAAAGGCAAAAAGTCCTGAAGTGAATCACTTTCTCTAAGACTCTTAACTATAAAACACGGGTGACAGAGGGAAAGACAGAGGGCAAGCAAGGGAGTCACAGCTTTTATGGACCTGTCTTCACTTTGGGGGGGGGTGGGGAGGTGGGGTTTGGGGGGTTGGGAAGAGGGGGTTGGGGAGGTGAGGGGGGGTCACAGCAAGATGTGAAGTACTCATTAGCTTATTTATGTAAGATGTTGTCTGAAATTGCTGCTTTCCTTAACATAGAATGTAGAACTGAGAACTTGAGAAAACTCCCCCCATTTCAGGACCCATTCACACGTTCTAGGCAATTCCAACCAAATGAGCTAAGACAGCTGTCCGTATGACACTACAGTCTGTACACTAACTAACAGGAGACTCCCACCCTAAAGCCTTGGCCCAGCTTCAGCAAACGGAATTCTCTTCTTACTGTTCGGCAGAGCCAACGTGAACGTGAAATCTAAAAAGCTAACATCCCCCAGGGCGCCTACTATGTGCTGACCGTTGTGCTATGGCGTCATCACTTCCTCTGCTCCCACAAGAGGCCTTGCAGGCAGGCATTATTCCTTACCCAACAACAACAACAAAAAAAAGAACACTGAGAGTTTGCACAGCTGGGTAAGTAAAAAAAAAAAAAAAACCTCAGATTTAACCAAACCTACAAGTGAGGTAAATCCCCTCTAGATCCCCCCAACAGAAACACTGCCAATGTTAAAAGCACATACATCCATGCTTATCTAATCTGGCAAGAGGCATCACCCAGCAGAGGACTCAGGGCGGTATGTGTGTGAGCTGGTGGTCTACTTTGAACATCCAAGTGTGCTCACAGGTACCCCCACCTTAAGCTTGAAGGGGGGCCAGCTGCCGTCACCAGTGCGGATTCTGTAAGGTGTGCTTGAAAGATTAGGACGGGAGCTCTACGCAGCCCCAGCCTGGAGATGAGACACCACCCCACTCCCAGGCTCCTCAAAGTGAAGTGACAAGAGGAACAGGAGGATGGGCACAGCTCTAAATAAATCTGTCTATTGGTACTGCTTGGTTTTAACTATTTCTTTAGAATATAATCATTTCCTTTAGCTAAGTACAACGAATCATAACAAACTCACTGAAAAATAATAATAATAAAAAACCCCACAAATATTTGATGATGGCTAACACCAGTTTCTGCTCCGTGGTTAACGTCCTCACTCTGCTGGAGGACTTAGACCTTCCAGCGAAGTGTTCTGAGGAGGACTCTGGTGGGCGAGGTACCTTAGCATTGAGAGGACACACAGACAGGGCGCTCCGAAACAGCCGGTCTTCGCTCCGCCACTCGCCACTGCGGATCACACATCTCAGCGCGTTGATGAGTAGAATGCCCAGGACGACGGCGGCAACTGGTTTCTGGACAGAGTTGGCACACGTCATCAGTAAGCCACATGTGGCGGTTACGGTTCTTGGTGGCAGCATTCTGGGTTGTCATATATATATGTATGTATATAGTTCTTTCCTTTTTCAGGTTTCTTTTTTACTTTATTTTCAGTACGTACGCAGGCATGAGCATCCGCCTGTGACCATGTATATATGTATATAGTTCTTTCCTTTTTCAGGTTTCTTTTTTACTTTATTTTCAGTACGTACGCAGGCATGAGCATCCGCCTGTGACCATGTAGGCGCCACAAGAAGATACCAAGTGTCTTCCTTCACTATTCCTTACTGCTTCAAGACAGGGTCATTCACCGAGCCTGAAGCTGGCTACTTCTGCTAGGCTGGCTGGACATTGAGTTCCCAGGAGCTGCCTGTCTGGGAGCCCTCAAAGCTTGGGGTTACAGGCACACGAAGCCATGGCAAGTGTTTTTTACATCAGTGTTGTGAGTCCAACCCCTTACCCACTGAACCATCTCCCCAGCCCCATGGTACCTTTTTCTTAGTGTGTCTGCTTAGGGCTCCGAAGCCAAAGGTCAGCAGCATGCAGTACCCAGCGCTGGGGAGGTAGAGGACACGCTCTGCGACCACGAAGCCCACTCGGAAAAACAAGTTGCTTGCAGGAAGGAAGGGAATCACAAGAAATCCCAGACCCAGAGTCAGGATTCTGGAAGATGAAAAGTAATGGCTAGCTTAGACTTTCGAAGAGAAGCTCCTCACTTGACGTGATTAACACAGACTGTTTCTTCGTTTCCCGCCGTCAGTTTAGAAAAGGTATTAGCAAGGAAAAGGGCATCAAGTAGAGGGAGTTAAGCTGACAGCACGGAGCAGGGCACTCAGCGGCCAGTACATGGGGAAAAACACCCGAATCATATGCTTGTATCAAGTCAGAAAGATTACATTCAATCTATCCTTTGCTTAATAAACACTGGTCCCCAATAAATTCACGTGTCTTACATGTGACCCCCCGCCACCAACCAGAACAATATAGAAATAGATTAAATTGTGTAAAATTTGAAAGAAACAAGTATCTTTTTTTGTTGTTATTGTTGTTACTGTGTCACAACCAGCAAAACACAAGCCAGTATTCCATGAAACATATATAGCATCCTCGGACTACTCTCTATGTCTCTCTGTCTTATAGGATGCAAAGGTATAAATGAAGAAATGGGGGGTCACATTTGGTGGCGCCTTCTGGGACCCTGTGCCTTACAGTATTTTGTTTTAAATTCTATTTCACATGTATAAATGAGCCGATTGGGACTAAAGTTTGCTGCTCTTTAGAATTATCAGCCAATTTAAGCACACAAGTAAGCAGAACATTACTTTGAGAAATTGCTCATTTACTATCATGCAGTTAAGCTTTGTGGAAATCATCTTAGACAGTTTTTATTTTCACGGAAACTATGTTTGTTTTCTCCAATTATTTCCTCAATAACCCTTTGCAAAAGATCTTTTTATCTGCTGAAAAAGTATGGTGTCTCTTTGGGGGCAGCAACCTATTTTGTGCCTGACAACAAACAGAAAGGAACACAGAATTTGCAAGGGTTTCTTGGAAGGAAAACTGTGAAATAATGGACCCAACACACGTCAATTACACTCTCTGTTCTGACCATAAATTACACTTTGCCTCCTACAGCGAGATCTCCAAGTGCTACTTAGAAGGGAGGGGGGCATGGCAGTCATGTCTACATCTCCTCCAGTTTCCCTCCTACTGGTTGAAGCCAACCATAGATTCCCACCTTGTTGTAGCCATACATTCAGGACAAATGTCCTTAGACATCCTATGCACAGAGCTGTTAAAAGTGATGGGCACTGGAGTTAGCAAAAAAAAAAAATGCTTCTGCTGGGTAGAAGTTAAAATTCCATGCTGCCTTCTCTTACCTTCTCTTGCAGCTATCTTCAGAGCACAGAGCTTGGAATATTAGGCCAATTAGGCAGAGCCAAAGTGCCGCCAGAGCAATTACCCTCCAGTCACCAACTGACTTAATGAGGGGGATGCAGCCCATTGACCAATCAAAACACAGCCACCAGGGACACAGCAGCAGCCAGGCATTCAACGAATAGTAGTAATTATAGTTTATGGCCTGTCAGTCAAAAGAAAAACAAACACTTACTAGATCCTGAACTTGAAAGAACACACATGTCCTAACTTCACTTCCGAGGCGTTCACAAGTTCCTGTTCCAGGGAGCAGTTGTGTAAAAAATGAAATGCTGCCCATTTGTAGTCTGGGCATAGGAGTGTAACCTGTAATTTATTAAATGCATCCACGTTTTTAATACTTTATAAATAAATAAAGCCAAGCCACTGGACCAGGCAATGCAGGTGTCATATATCCGACCAGGCTATGGGTCATTTACATAGTAGTACCTAATGCCTCTGACTCCGTCAATGTGAGGCCGGCCCAGGTGTCAACAGTGCGTCTAACCATTTAAAAACGGAGCTCAGCCCTGAGTATTTTCTTGGTTTCTCTCTGTAAAGTGCACAGCTAGGAGTCTGGCTTGAGGTCGTTAGGAAAACAGGAAAACCTAAGCGAATAACCTTGATGCTGTCACAACAGCGTGGTATTACAACACTGTGTCCTGTCTCAGCTACACCAGTTTCCCGCAGCAACAGAAACGGGGTCAGGAAGAAGCACGTTAGTAAGAGGGACACCACCACAGAAGAGGCTGCTCTTCCTTCTTTTCACGAAAGCAATGGTGGTTGGTCCTCTCTCTTCTCTGTGGGCCTAAAGCCACAGATTCCACAAACCTAGAATTTAACCACAGACTGAAAATATTCGGAAGGAAAACAAAATTTTTCAGAAGGTTTCAAAAAATCCCAAAGCTTAAGCTGGCCGAGCACCGAGTGCTTCCCTGAACCATGTGAGAACAGAGAGCAGGCATTGCGTCAGCAACAGTGTAGAAGCTGGGGACGGCTCTGAGCACGGAGGAGATGAGTGCAGGTTATATGTAAACACTCTTACCTTATCAAAGAGACTCCAGCACCCCTGGGTTTAGAATTGTGGAGGGGGGAGGCGGGGGCTCTTGACATTAATTCCCCAGGGACACACAAAGATAACTATATAGAGACCCAACACACATCTTTCCCAACAGCACAATAAAAGGTTGGCGTTATCTTGTTAAAAACAGGATTTATCTACTTATTAGGGACTGGGGGATGCGGTGGAGGGGCAGAGATGAAGACGGGGAAGGATGAAGGATCTACAACAGTGGTTCTCAACCTTCCCAACGTGCCACCCTTTAATAATACAGTCTCCCACGCTGCGGTGATCCTCAACCATAAAATTATTCTTCATTGCTGCTTCATAACTGTAACCTTGCTGCTGTTATGCATCACAGTGTAAACATCTGCATGTGCAGGATATCTGATGATGTGGCCCCTGTGTAAGGGTCATTTGACCCCCACAAAGGAGTTGAGTCTCACAGGTTGAGAACCACTGATCTACAGACCAGAGGGAAAGAAAATGATTGCAAAGAAGTCCATGCTCATGACTTACCCTAACCAACAGGCTGTCTGCAAAGGAGGCTGGATTGTCCACCTCGGTAAATGCTGGTGGACCGGTACCCATGATTTTCCAGCGTACATAAAGCATGCTAGTCCCTCCGAGGGTGAGCAGGGTCATTCGGAAGAGGAGACCTCTGTTCCTGAGCACACCGGTGTTCTGAAACGACACCACAAAGTTCCTGCTGTTGGAAGACCTTTTCAAATAAAGCATAGCGTGTGGTCCCAAGTATTTAGGAGGCTGAGACAGGAGTGTGGCCACCTTGGTCCATATGGTCTGCCTAGAGGCTACACAGAGTTCAAGTCTAGCCTAGGCAACATAGTAAAACTGGTTTAAAATAAAAAAAATAGAAAAAAAAAGGGCTGGAGATATAGGTTAATCATAGGGCATTTGCCTAGAATCATGCAGGCCCTGGGTTTAATCCCTAGCATTGCAAAATTAAATATACCAACCCCAAGTATGATTACTCCACCTAAACCATTTGACACGGTTCATTAAAAAGCTGCCTACTTTTGTATTCAAATCACAAGAAATACTTGGAAAACAGCATTTTAAATGGGCTGGTACTTGACATTTTCCATGTCTGGGCTCGAGATAAAAGCATGTAACTCACCTCTAATGATTTGCCCTTATGTAGTGCCTTTTGGACAGTTTCCAGAATGTTGAATTTTCCTATCACCAGGATGTCGAACACAGCATTTAAGCCCTAAGAATCAAAGTGTCAGTTAGTCCGGAGAGCCTGACTCTGGTGGGGGCAGAAATCACAGTCACACATTTTCATTGTTTATACCCACACAAGAACTCTGACGATGACCATGGACAAACTCCCAGGGATTTAAGAAGAACAGCCGCATGTCTGGATGAACCTAACCCATGGTGTGGACTCCACCAGTGATAGTCTAGTGAGACCCTGGCAGTAATGACCCCGTGGCCTACATTTAGGAGCATGGGCTCCTATGAGAAGTTCCCCAGAAGTCCTTGTTCCCTTCCTCCTTGTCTATAACTGTAAGAGTGGTCAGCTACCAGGGCAATAATTAAGTATAAGAGGAGAACATCAGTCATCAATCTCGCCAACCCAGCCTTGTACACAGACTCTACCCGGCTGACTGAGGCCTGGTGAAGAGGACAGACACATCACTCTCTGAAGGAGAGCTCCAATCGTCCACTGGGCACAGGACTGGATTACATCCCCAGGTCTGCTCTACAAAGAGAGACTCCAAGGACGGGTCAGGTCACGTGGGTGGCATACAGAGCTTAGGAAGGCGTGAACTGCTCTCCTGGAGTTTTGGTCTAAAAGCTGGACTCTCTCCTCTTTGTCTCCCCTTCCTTCTGGCTGTGACACAGCTGCTCGGGCAACTCTGCACATGAAAGACGCTGATGTGTGCACAAGCAAGCCTCCTTAGACACTGTGCAGAAGCGCTCACTATTGTGAGGTGAACAAATGTGTGAAACCACTGGGCAGCTCCCCCATGGCTCCACCTACACCAACGGCTCCCATGACATCGTGATGGTCAGGCTGCTTTGACAGCTATTCAGAGCATACTCGTGCGTCGGGTCTAGTCTTTACTCTGTGGATGACTTCGGAAGGCAATATCATCTACTGGAACCCCCTGCCCAGTCTGCATAATGGGGTCGGAATATCCACGGTATGTCTGGCGAAAGCTGTCCCTGGCATGACTGGGCTCTTTTTAATACGGGGTTTTGTGGCAAAGATGGTCAGAAATCATCAGAAGCCAGGGGTAATTTGTGGTTTTCAGAGCAAAGATGACACTGCTGCCCAACCCTCTCCCACAAATGCTGGAAGTCACTAATTATCCAATCCACAGGCCACTGCCGGGTTAAACAATTTGAAGAATACTGATTTTTATTCACTCAAGTGACACGCGCGATCATCACGGGTCACAGAAGACCATCTATGCTGGACTGTAAACTGTTTTTCCAGAAGACAGGAACTCCCTTGTCTGCTGATACCACCTTCTCACACCGCTTACTTCTTTGCCTGGAGCTGTGGGACTGCCGCTGAGGGGGGTGGGGTAACAGGAAGACTAAGCCAAACACAAAACTGGTACTTACTTCTCCATCCAAGTTAGAGGCAGCAGCATCAAAATGCTCATAGTTTATTTACGTTCAACCCGACCTTCAGCGCTTCTGAGGTGTTAATAAATTCTGGAGCGACCTGCAGACCTTGCTAAGTGGGATGTCTACTCGGAGGTCTGAGGAGGGGTTAGAGATCCTGAGCTAACTAGCTCTGGGATGCTGCTGTTGCTATGGATGCCACTGGTCCTCAAGCCACACTTGATATTAGTATCAGGTTTCAGAGCCGCAGTCCTCACTAGGATGTCTCTGTCACAGCAGTGCCTAGCAACCTCCACAGCATTTTAGGACAACTAACACTCCCCCTCCCTAAGAACGTCCCACAGATCAGTTCCCACCATTCACTAGTCGTGGTCAGGAGAACCAGCCAATTCTCCACCTGAAACGCATGGTGGCATGGTGGCAGCCAAAATCGTGAGCCCAGAAATGGGTAAAACCTCGGGCTGGTGATTACATACAAGCATAAGAGGACACAGGAGTGGGATAGCCCCACAGCATCTCTCTCTTGCAGGGAATCCATGTGTGGGAGAAACAGGCTCTATCTGAGCTCTTACCAGCACAGTGATTCCTTGCTCCTTGCACAACATGGCTACGGCTCCCAGAATGATACTCAGCAACACCCAGAGGGTGGAAGAATGCGTTCTCTCCTTATTACCTGCCAGTAACAGAAACACACAAATCATGTTACAGTAATGTCCCATCCGGCCGGCCCCAGGGAGTAACATTCCAAGCATGCACCTCAGAGAGTCACTAACCTAAGTTTGGTCCCATGGTGCACCCTGACTGGACAATGCTATCTAAATAGAACACATGTCCCATCTTAATGCACTGAGAAGCACTGTAAGTGAGCTCCGGCCACAAAGATGCCACAGCCCAGAGTTCCCATGGAGCATGTTGCTTCTTCCCGACTCGATGGCCACTATATAGGTCCATTCTAGCAAGTGGCACTGAGAATTCTGACCCTGCGAGCAACCCATCTGATTGCAGAATGACTCCAGTGGTCCCCACTGCTATCACAGAGATAAGGCCTGGGCTCTGCACACCAGATGGCTTAGGCTGAGTCTGCTCCTCTCTATGTACAGTCGTTCTGATTCTACCACCACAGGGTGCTTAATTCCCCAGCACTCTCGACCAGTAAAGGTCATGGGTCTGTTTGGGCTCCTACCCTATATGGGAGCTAAGTATTCAAGAGCAAGTCAAAAAAGTATCACTCAACATGGAAACGGATGAGAAACCTGGAGGACAGGGATGGCAGTCAATGGCCACCACACTAACTTTCTGAGGCGGCATGTGTACACCCATTGCTGTCTGCGACCAGAGCCGAACAGCTGGAAGGAGACAGAGTCACGGGTCGGCCCCACCCCTGCCCCCCTTTTAAGTCCTCAGTCCTCATCTAAGTGAACAAACACTGCACGTCCTTGGGAGAACCAATCATTAGTATGTCCGGGTACCACTGCAAGGACATTACATCTAACTTCTGCTCTGTCGTTTCATTACTAACACACAGCATCTAACGAGTTACTCCCATTTACTCCCCTCACCTGTAAGATGGGGGTGATGAACCTATCTCAGGAAACGAGAGGGGAAACCTATAAGGGAGTGACTTGCCACTATAAATTACATGAAAGCAAAAACATACCTCTAGAAACACATGTGGACAACCGACTATAGTAATTAGTGAGTGAAGAAGAAAAAATAGAGAGGAAGTCATACTTTTCACTGCAGAACCAAGTTCTTAGCCATATGTACATATAAAAACCAGATCAAACAGGAAGCACTTTTAAAAAAAATCACTCGATACAGTGTGGAAACCACAGGGATAGCTGATAAACTCTGCATGCAAATTTCCTCAGGTCAGGGTGATGAAATTTCTATGGGGCTTCAGTTCAATGGTAAAAAGGAGAGGCTGGTGAATTATCCTGGGATAAAATGTGTGAATAATGCAGTGCAGTTTCTAAAGTACATCATGGTTCTCATTAAACTGCTCACTCCAGAAGCCAGCAATAAATGCTTGTGTATGTGTGCATGCGTGCACAAGTGTGCATGTGTGTGCACATGTGCATGCCCTGACTGGATATAAGCCTTATGATTTATTAAGGACTGATTGGCAAAGCCCCAGGATAGAAGTCTTTCATGTCCTGCCAATAATCACCAGGACCTGGAGTGCGCCAGAGGTGATCTCAACTTCATGCTCTCTGCGTGTGGGCTAAGATACCTTTCAAGGTGATGAAGCCTGTAGCTAGCTGAACTCCTTGGAAGCTCACGAATGCATGAGCAGCACCATTTTCTGCCAGGACTGACACCTGCTGTTGCCTTCAGGCTAAGGGTAACCCTCGTGAGTATGGCTTTCATTAGTGGCCTTGCTACTGTGACCACCTGGCACCCTCTAACTTCCCTGGTCTATAGTCAATTCCAGGCATAGTAGCCAACTCAACAGATTCCCACTTTGCTTTGCTTGTCCCATTCCCCTGGGCTAGTGTGCCTCTGGCAAAATCCTACCCTTCTTATGAAGCTGTCAAATGTCACTGAAGCTGAGAAGCCACACCCCCACTCTCCCAGCAGTCTCCCTTCCCAATTCATTTGCTTTATGGCAGCTACAACAGCAAGTGGCCCGCCTGTCTGATTGCCTGTGGGTAGGTGTCTCTAACTGACACCCCAGATTAAGTTAGAAGTAGCGGTAGCCTACAAGCTGCATAACCCTAACCCACAATCCATCAAGACGCTCTTCAGATATTAGAGACTGGGCTTTTCTGTTAATGCCCCTAATGAGAATTCCTCAAAATGAGACATATGGTTGGTTGATGCTTTGCTGAGGGGACAATGCTGCCTATCACAGGAAATTATTAGACAACAGGAGAATCTCTAACCAACTGTGTTACAGATATTGCCAAACGACTTTGGTGGGCGGGACCATGCCTACTGGGAAACCGCTGGCCTCAACCAGTACTACTCAGGTTGAGGGTCTGGAGCCCTGGGCTTAGACATCGCTAACAATGCAGAATTACAACCCACCCAGGCCTACGGAGTCAGGAATCCTAAGAACGGCAACTAGCAGGCACGGGCCCTTTTAACATGCTCCCCAGATCTCTGGACACTCTACAGTCCCACAACAACACCCTCGGCAGCAAGCGTGCATTCAGCTACATTGCTGGCACCCTGCCTGGCTTCGAGGAGCTGAGAGCTGCAGACAGAAGCAGCGTCCAGCTGACTCTGAGTGGCAACACATGTTGGGAGGATGAAGGCGAATCCCTTCCAGGATGCTTCCAGCAGGGGGCCACCTGACCTAGACTTGAGTAACTTGAGCACAGGCATGAGCGTCTCGTAACACAGCCCATTTCACTTAAGCTCTGGGCCATTAGGAATATTACTCCTTATGCTGAGCACAAGCTTGCCTTTCTGAATTTCACGGCTTAAGCTTCAGGCTATTCGGGTGGCAGAGGGCCTGGAAGTCAACGGTTCTTCAGTAGGAACTGTTACGTATTTATCTAGCTGTGCCAAACAAATGAAGGGTGATTTTACTTACACACATGACTTACATGTATGCGACACCAGAAGACCACACTTAGAACCAACACCATTACCGAAAGCTACTATACTCGGCAGGATTCCGATTCGAGGTTTTTGTATGTCCCAGGGTCAGCATGAGGGGCTGCAGTCTGGCCTCATTCCATTGTAATTGTGTCTACTGCTCGTTAAGCCTAACTGTCCTATACAGTTATAACTGACAATACGCTTATTATGTCGCTATCAAAACTTCATATAAAGAACTTGCAAACAAAAAATGTTATACAGTGGGATTAGCTAGACCCAAGGTCTATGCATCTCGATGAACTCATACAGTTAGTATGGCCATCCTGAAGATGGGAAGCTTTGCCTTTCACCACCAATTCTACCTTATTTATATTTTTAAGGATCTGATTTACAAAGCATTCTCACCTCATATGTCTCACCGAGACATAATATGATTTTCTAAAACCTAAATTTTAAAAGCACAACCCCCCAGATCATTTTACATATCTCCCTAGACAAATGGAATTACTTTCGTGCTTCACTTAAATATAACATAATGAAGATGAATGTCCTCCCCATGGGGGTGAATTAAAGTCCAGGTCCCTCATTAAAACATGCAAAGGAGGACTCTTGAAGGCACCCCGCTAACACAGAGCTACATACTACGGAGCCTGTGAAAATGAAGGGCTCATGTCCCATCCATCTAGTCTAGAATTCAAAACAGCCCTCTTCATGGATGGCAAACATGTATAGACTTAATGGAATGTATAGAAACAAAACAAAAAACAGCTTGTGGCTTTATCAAGCTTTTTTTTTCCCCTAGGGTCACCCACAATTGCACTACACTTCTCTCTCATACCCTGTGCCGGCTGGCTTTTGTCAAGCTGGCACAAACCTGACATCTGGCAAGAGGGAATCTTATTTGAGAGAATGCCTCCATCAGATAGGTCTGAAGACAGGTCTGTTGTAGAATGTCTTGGTTAATGATCAACGTGGAAGGCCTGGATCATTATAAGTGGTGCTGTCCCTGGTCTGGTCATAGGGTTGTATGAAAAAGCAGGCTAACCCAGGAGCAACAAGCCACTAAGTAGTACCTTTTCCTGTCTCTGCCATCAGCTCCTGCTTCCAGGTTCCTGTCTCGAGTTCAAGGACTGACTTCGATGTGGAAGCGTAAACTGAAATATACCCTTTCCTCTTTAACTTGCTTCTGCCACGCTGTATCGAAACACCAGAAAGCCATGAAATGTCCCATGCTCCTACTGCCTTCACGGCATCCTCCCTTTCGGCCTCTGACGTAACACACCCAGACGAAAACCTATGCGGTGGAGACACAGCTTCAGCATCGGTAACCACTTATTATTAGGCGTTGCCTCTGAAATCAGCGGCAATTTCAGATCAAAGGCAGCACTTCAACGGTCAGTTACTAACCTCGACAGCTTGGCCGGCAGAGAGGCAACTCCAGACCTGCTACTGCCAAGAAGCAGGTCATTAAAGCTAACAAGTACTTGAGATTTATCTCGTCCCAACCTAGAGTCTGTAGACTGGTCTGGAAAACCAATGTAAAAATGTTTCACATTGTATACGGATTCTATATTAAAATTCTACTGTTGACAGACTACAATTCATCTCACTGCTTTTTTTTTTTTTTTTTTTTTGAGACAGGGACTCATATCCCAGCCTGGCCTCAAACTCACTAGGTAGCAGAGGATAATCCTGAATTTCTGAGCCTCCAGCTTCTACCTCCCTGGTGTTGAGATTACAGGTCTGGTTCATGTGGAGCTGGGGACTGGACTCAGAGCTCTGTGCCTGGTATGCAAGCACCTACCAGACGCATACACAAAATAATTAGCAAATAAATCTCTCAAATCATATCATTCAAGCCAAAGGGGGGGTGGATCTTCTTTACAAACACGGAATATGTCTGTGCATTATAAACCAAGGTCAGCCAACTGACACAGCATTAGTGAGCTTCTATTTACCCACCAGAGGTGGGTAAAAACCTTAAAGTGGGAGACAGGCTCTGAGTTCTGGGACAACCCCGTTGAGGGTAGTTTTACCCATGCAATTCCCCTAAATTAAGATTTACTTTTAATCTTGGTTTGTCAAAGCAATAACTGCTAACCGTGGCCAGTAGGCAACATAACC